GCCCTGACGCTGCATCTTGAGGGAGGGCTCGCGCGGGTCCGCGGCTGAGTCGCGCGGTTGTTCGCGGACGAGGTTGTAGGAGGACTGGGAGCCGAAGTAGTGCAGCTGGCCGTCCTCGATCACGTTGAGGCGGCCGACGAGGCCGGTGAGGTCCGAGAGGGGACCGCCTCCGTCATCGTCGTCGTCGCCGGCGCTGTCGTCTTGCGGGTCGTGGTCCTCGGTAGTCTCGGCGGCGAGGTCGCCTGAGGCCGGCTGGGAGCCTAGGGCGACGACTTGGGCTTCTAGATGTCGGATCCGGGCTTGCAGGGATTCTACGTATTTCTTGCTGGGTGGTCTAGGGACGGTGACACACGGCCGTGGCTGTCAGCGGCAGCAAGCACGAACCGGTCGTGATGAGATCCACATCTTTGTGGGACTCGCGGGGAGACCGGAGAAGGGGGGGGGGGGTTGGAGCTTGGGGCTTGGGGCCTTTGGAAAGGGTAGAGGGGGAGGGGGAGGGAGAGAGAAGGGGGGAGGCCCTTAGTTCACGACTTACCGGCGTTTATTGTCTGCGTGCTGAAACTCACACTCGGTGCCTCTCCTCGTACAAGAGCCACAGATGGGCTGCTGTCCATCGCACTGGCGGGGTTTCTGGTGTCACTACAAGGAAGAATGGCGAAAGGGAAGTGTTGGGAGGTAGGCTATGAACGAGGAAACGACTTACTCGCATGCGTCTCTGCCGGCACGCGAGGCAGGCGATGGAGACCCGCTGTCTCTTTTTGCCTTCGGGTTGCCGTTGGGGAAGAGAGGTCGACATGGCTCAGGTGAGTATCAAAAGCCCGTATAGTCGGTACACGCGGGCATGTTCTGGAGGGGGGGAGTACTGTGTATGAGAGCAAGGAAAGCAAATAAGCGCAAATATGGGCCCAGTCGGCTAGATTTTACTCGGTTGACAGAAGAGGCATTTTCCATCCAGCAAGTCAGTGTGGATGTGTGTTTCTGACAGGTCCCGACGATATGGTAGAGACCGCAGTTTCAATATAATTCAACTACCGATGGGATGGATCATGGAGGAGGGGAGGGGAGCCAACGACGCGCTTCAGTTATGAAAAGAAAAGAAAAAAGGGAGAGGGAAAACCCCGCACTTCCCCAATCAACGCACGCTCAGTTATCGAAAAAGCTCCGCCCAATCCACCCGTCTGCTTCTACTAGACCAAACTCTAAAACACAAAGGGGAATGGAGCGGGGGGGGGGGGGGGAGCATCAGCTGAGACTCTAAGCTGAGGTATTAGGAGGGGAATTATTTTGAGAGAGAGAATGAACATAATTACTAACTAAGCGAAGTCACAACTAATTATATGCCGCTCAACTTCCTCTACTCTCTACTTGACAATAAAAGACACTCATCCGACAAGTTCTCCAACGGATATATCTCTTCCTGGGAATTCTTCATCATCCGTCACTACTAACTAGAAACAGCCTCTGATCTCATCATTGCTTCATCCTCATATCCTCCTCTCAAGGGTCGGCCGCGTAGTGAACGGGACGCGCAGGGTACTTGTTCACCCGCAGACTCAGCTGGTCAGGACGGCAGTAGTGTCCGACAATATCGAGGTTCTGCTTCGCCTTGGCTTTCTCCGCGAGGTCGACATCAGCATACAAGATGCACTCCTCCCCAGGCGGCGGGCGCTTCACCAGCTCCTCGCCAAAGGGGGAGTAAATCATGCTGAAGCCGCCGCCCGCGCCGACAGAGTTTGTCGCGTACCCAAACTCGTCGATGCGGCACCGCTTCTTGGACTCCTCGCTGACGACCTGCGTGCAGACCATGACGAAGCACGCACCCTCGAGCGCCACCACCTGCGAGAAGCGCATGCTCATCTCGTCCGTGATGTGGTGAGGCCAGTCGGCTTGTCTGACGCCGTCCTTGTCGGTCGGGTGAGGCCAGAGGACGGGCCAGCTGGAGACGTGCAAGTCGACGTCCTGCTCGTACTCATAGTAGCGCAGGAGCGTCTGCGTGTGCTCCCAGCAGTTGAGACCACCGATCTTGACCGAGGGGTGGAGCGTGCTAGGCGCGACGGTCTGCAGGGACTCGCCTTGGCCGTCGCCCCAGTAGGCGCGCTCGACGTGGGTCGGCTTGATCTTGCGGCGGTGGTGCACGATGACGCCGTTCTCATCGATGAAGGACTGTTTAGAGGTGTGAGAAGGCGTTCTCATTTGAGAGAAAAAGAGAGGTGAGAAGGAAGAGGCAAGTGCCTTACCTGGGCAATGTACAAAGTGTTCTTGAATCTCTCGCTGTATCCGAGAACGACAAACACACCGGCCTCCTTGACGGCGGCGCAGATGCGCTTCATCTCGTCAGAGTCCTTGACGAGCGAGTTGCGGAAGTACTCGTCCATGAAGGCGGCATTATCGGTGGGGGACTTGGCCCAGATGCTCCTTTCGACGGTAAGAAATTAGCCAAACCATTGACGCGGAGAGCGAAACGAAAGGATCCGTCGCAGACGAGAAAAATGGGGAGGATGTGTGTCTCAATTCTCACTCACCATGGGTATCCGGGAATGAAGACCTCAGGGAAGCCGACGACATTGGCGCCCTTGCTGGCAGCCTCCTCGATGAGAGCGATGGACTTGGTAACACCGCCCTCGAGGTCGTTCCAGGCGGGCTCGGCTTGGATGGCCGCGATCTTGAGCTTGGGAGCCATTTCTGTGAGATATTCGGAGTGAATTTTAAGGTAAGAGTGATTGGGTATTGAGGGTTTATGAGGTGAAATGAGAGAGACTGTTGAATTGCTGGATGATATTCATCTGAACTCGACTTCATTCACGGGCAGATTCTCTCTCTTTTGTAGCTCAAAAGCGAGGCTATTCTTTTCCGCCTGCTCCAACAAACATATCTAGATGAGGGGTTCTTCTGTGCCGCATCGCGAGCGGCTCAGCACTATCCTATCCAACACATCTAGAGATCGTCTGTTTACTGCTAAAAAGGACATCACAAACTATCCCAGCCTAAGGGCTCTTCTATCTCCTACAAGTTACATATTCCCCAGATTTTCCCAACGGTTAAGCAATACCCTATCCGCATCGTTGGTCCCTCCGTCTGATGTCGTGTCACTTCCCGAGCTGAGCCACTAGCGCGCTATCAATGAAATCCGGGGTAATTCGGTGAGGGAGAGGGGTTGAAGCCTGCAGACAAGAGTAATGCACGCGATCCGCGTGGTGGGGTTAGCTTCACCGGTTGAGCACTATCCTATCTAGTGCATCCATGATTAGCTTGGTATTATCGATTATGCCGTTGGTTGGAATTGGGAGTAATGCGCCCGAACCATCTTTGTAAACATGAAGGTTTCACTTCTTCTCGTCGGATCCCTGAATTGTATGACCTCACTGCCCGTCTGTTCCGTCCCAATTACGTGCACATTATCTGATATCCTCACTAGTGGTGTTCACACCACAACTTCGTTTGAATCGTTTCTAGAATAGCTTGACAAGTGTTTTGGCAACTAATCCGACAAGATGAGATTGCGGAATATTCAAGCCCGCAATGATTATAGGATGAACGTCATCTATATCCTCCAGACGTAATCCTGGGTCTTCAAAAGAGAACCGCCATATTGTTGACTTGTCCCCCCCACTGCTATCTCAACCCTTCACCGAAACACACAGTCGCCGCCATGGAACTCGAATCCGCAATCCCAGAATGGCTCCGCAAAGAGCGCACCGTACCTGCAAGGACACCACCTGGCTTCACGCCCCCCTTCGAGCTCTACAGTTCGCGCTTTCCCAAGACCATTAAAGACATAGTCATGGCCATCATCGGCGCCCAGTACGCATCCGCAGACCTCAACGACGGTGGGGCCCTGAAAACGGTAGCCTCCTTCACGACCTCCCATCGAGTCGCCCCGGCGTCACGCCCGGCCTTTCACGAAGCCGCGGCTGTGGTAGATAATCGGGGGTTCTACAACGTTGCAGTGTTTGCGTACTGGCCGAGCAAGACCGCGTACGAGGAGTGGTCTAGCGAGAGCGGTTTCCGGACGTGGTGGAGTGAGGCGAAGCCCGGGGACCAGCCGCGGCATGGATGGTTCTTGGAGGTGTTTCTCCCGACGGCCGACCGGTTCGAGACTGTGTTCTCGACGGCCGTGCCGGAGGGTGCGGCACACATGAGAGACAGCGTCAGTGGACCCATCAAGGAACACGTCTACTGGGGGAGCATGAGAGATCGCCTGCCCGTATCCCAGACAGACGAACTTCTCGGAGATCCGGAAGAAGAAAGCAAGCAGAAGGCCAACGGATCAACGTCACAAAACGGCGAAACCCATCTGCCGGAGAGGGTCCGCGTACAAGGCAAGAAGAACCTCACCGTCATCCGCTCGGGACAGGACTGGTCCGCAGCGCTCCCCGAAGAGCGGCAAATCTACCTCGATGCGATGCAGCCTCCGCTGATCAGGGGCATGGAATACCTCCGCGACCACGGCGACGAGGTTGGCTGCTTCAGCTGCCGCTTCATGGAGATCGTCGACCCCGTGACGGCCAAGGGCGGGCATGATCGGACTTTCGGGCTGGCGTACTTTGACAACCTCGCCTCGCTGGAGCGCTGGAGTAAAGAGCATAGAACGCACCTGGCCATCTTTGGCGAGTTCGCGAAGTATGCCAAGAGGTTGGGGGATCAGATGTCCTTGGCATTATTCCATGAGGTTCTGGTTCTGGAGCCTGAGCAGCAGGTCTTCGAGTACATTGGGTGTCATGATAGGACGGGGATGCTGAGTTCTTTGCAATGATTGGTTATAATTAAATGAGTACTTCATTGGACACGTTCTGTTTTCAACGTGGGGGAGTGATGAACGTTTTTTCCTTGGCTAGCACTCGCCTTCTGTCCCTAATTTCCTTGGTCATGAAGGTGATACGCAGTCAGTCAATGTGTCCAATCGCAAAACTACCTTACATCGTTACCCAAATGCTCCCGCCCGTTTCCAAACTCTTGATATATCAACTGGCTCATAGTGAACCAAAGAACACATTCCTCAACTAGGTATCCTTCACTGGGTCGGCGATAAAGCCATTATCAACCCACGCAGTACCATCAATACCATACACTGTCACCCTACATTCGCCCGAAGTCATGCCATTCATCCTATTCGTATTCGTACAGAAGTAGATAAGCTTAGTCAAGGCCTCGCCCAATCGTGGAAATGTTCCTTGTCTGATATTTGCCCTCTGCGCGGGGCCTATTCGGTGGCCGATGCAGCACTTGCCTTTCTCGTGGTCAAGGCAGTACCGACGCGGCTTCTTTTTTGTCGTGTAGCGTGCCAGAGCAGGCTGAACTTCCCATAGGAGGATCTTGCATACTTCGACCGGTGCGAGATTCGACTCGTCGCACCTGTAAGGTCTTTTGACATCGTCGAAGTCTGCTTGTTCTGGCGAAATGCCTGGCTCGAGCTCTTGTCGGCGTCCTATGTGAGAAACCGCGGTGTCTTTCTCGAGGCTTGCGTCATCTTCGGTGGTTGGCGTGATGTAAATGAATTGGGCTTCAGCGTCGTCGGATTCCTGGTCCCAAATGGTGAATTTGCCCTGCTCTTTGGACCATTCTTCTGTGAGAGCCCAGCGTGAGTCCATTTTCTTTCCTCGACGAGAGTCTCTCTTGGCAGCGGTGACGTGAATATTTATGTGGTGTGGCTGATCTACCTCTTGTAAGCTTCTCTTCCTACGGCCACATCTACATTTCTTGCACCGCATACTGGAGAATGAGTCCAATATTGTATGAAGGTTTGTATGTACTCACCCTGTATTGATATTCCGTGATGGGTAATGTTGATGTAAACGGAACAGATGAATTTGAAATTCGATGGAGAAGGAAAGTGTGGGAAACCCAGTGGTCAGCACCTTGATAGCGAAGTCAGTGCCGTCTTGTCCCAACGCATCAGGCCGAAGCTTCTTCAAACATTAGCCCACCTTATATGGCCTACAAGGTTGCGGTTCTTCAACACGACGCCACGTCCCATGTTGACATATGTCCACTTAGGCAAGTTGCTCAGGCCTACCAAGATGCTTCGGAATTTCTCCTTATTCATTCAGCTACTTAACCGGCTTATTCGTGCGCCTGGAATCCATGGAAAGCCATACTTTCCGTGGTGTATATCCTATCTCTGTATTTAGTATCACATGGCTTTCACCTTCCACAGAAGCACTTCTTTGCAATGTCCCTTTCTTGCCAATGATGTGGATGAATCTCGTTTACAAAAAATAATGGCAATTTCGTCGATCCTCATAGATGATAGTACTACTTAATACCTTCACATCCATGTAGCCTAGGCACAGCCTGCAAGTCTACATCACGATCGTATTCGGGATTCCAAATCCTGACTATCCTAGCTACAGATTCAATCGGGGACTCTGCCAAGTGGCCTTATAGTGATTTTGCGCTGCTTGTCATGAGGTAGTTTGAGAAAAAGGTAATTATATGGACTGGGCTCTATCACAATATTTGTTTTTACCGTTGACGAGTTATTTGATCTCGTTTGTATCTATCAGCCGCGAAATACTCTTTTGCACAAGAAAGTCGGGTTTAGATGCTAGGAGTGGTTCACTCTACTTCGACGGCTCTTCTTATTGTCTCTATTCATCCTTGCTCTCAAAATAAGACTCTCTGTCGGCAGAATTGAGTGAAGCTACACCCGCTTAAGATGGCTTGTACCCATTTCACTCCCAGAGCAGACATGACCACCGGCGATTCACTGTCGTCCACCTGTAAAGAGATAAGGGATCAACAGAAAGTCATTCAAAAATTTTCCTCAGCAATCGGTGGCAGGAAGTTGAAAGCGATGTTGAGCCTCCCTCCGGCTGGCCCCTCCTGAGAACTAGCGCCAGTCTCAGATTGCCCATGTCTTGCATGGCCGCCTACACTCTTGCAGTAGTTCTTGGCACTCATGCTTTCCACGAATTAATTCACGATCAGATATTAACCAGCCTCCATTCGCGTCCAGATGAGATCTCACATAAGCGGTCTAAGTCTTGTCCGAGTCTAGACTTTGCGTCGCTGGAGGAAGCCGCATCGGCAATCTGACCACGTGCTCGGACCAAACGCCTTTTGCTCTGTTCACTGATACTGTCTCTGCCTAGGGCCAAGATAGTCGAGGATGAGAAACATTTCGTGAGTACGGACGAATCTTGGACCAAGCGCCATTCCAGATGCCGTGATCCAGGGCTCGACCAAGGAATTGAGGGAAAATGGATGAGGTTCCCCGCCTCGGAGTCTTGGTAGAAACACAAACACGTTCGATGAGGCGTCAGCCAAGCCACACGAAGGTACACAACGGCCTCGCCGCCAAGTGTAAAAAAGCTGTAGAGAGTAAGGACTTAGCCACCAGTAGGGCACATCTCACCCAGCCGTGCCCAGCCGTGCCCAGGTTGACCTGTCCATCAGAACTAACGCATCCTGTAATTTTACGCCACCGTCCCATCTCTGCCCCGAGCTTGCGGGATATGATTGATAAAGAAAGGCTAATACTACGGGAAATTTACGGACAAAACAGCGATAATAGTGGTACCTTTAGAGGGGTTCACGCAAAGCTAGCGGTATAACGACGCAGAGTTTACCCTGTACTCGGGTTAATGCGTTGATTCTGCCCATCATTTCCGGCGCATCTCTAATACGGCGCGCCCAGAGAGTGTCCTGCGCGCCAAGCATCATGGAAAACGCGGCATCAAGGGTTCAGAATCTGACGATAAAGCAGTGCTCCCTTACCTTTACTTTTGCTTAGCATGTCTTGGCTCCGGCGGTTACAACGTTCTACCAGTCATGCATCTCGAGGTTCTCGTCCTTCCCTCCTCGGAGGATTTCTCGAGGCCGGTTACAATGCATACGGGAGGCGGAAATGAACCCCCTTCCCAAAGGTTATACAGGCCGACCAGGAGGATTTCCGTGCTTCGCCCCGCAGTTCGCTGTCGAGTAATAGAGTATAAAGCTTGACGAGGCCCTCACGGTAAATAGGTTACGATCGGAGGTCTATCGCAAATCGCAGCTAGTTTCTCCAGATCCCACTATCATTATGATCACGACAGTATTCCTTGGCGCGCTGCTCATGGCGTCTGATGTCCTCGCATGTGCAGGACACCAGAACCACTATGCCATGGCAGACAGGAAGCGTGCAGAGATGGCTCCGTTGCCGGCTTCGGACTGGGCCTATGAGGCCTCGTTCAATTGGGGCCGCCTCAATCCAAGTAAGTTAAAGTTGCATTCGTGCCAAATGATCGTCCTTGATGGTCTGGACTGGAAGTACAGGTACTGACGCCGGCACTCAGACTACACCTTGTGCCAGACCGGCACGCAGCAATCGCCCATTGCGCTCAGCCTCAACAACGGACTGGCGCTGAACCACATCCTCCGGTTCAACTATCCCAACCACACGGCGGGCAACTTTTACAATTGGGGCTACGGCCCCGCCTTCACCGTTACGCACCCGGAGGGCGTCTACACCGGCAACCCGTCCTTCACATACGACGACATGAAGCTCTACCTTAAGGGCTGGCACATCCACTCGCCCGCCGACCACTCGGTTAACGGCGACAGGTCTAAGGCGGAGCTGCACCTCGTCCACGTGGATGAGGAGGGCCACGAGAAGGCTGTACTAGCGATCCGGTTGGACCCCGGCAACGCCAACAACACCTTCTTCAACCAGCTGCCGCCCATGATCGGCTTCAACGACGTCGGCGTCCAGCAGGAGATCGAGATTGACCACATGCCGGCGTTGAACAGCGTGCTGCAGTTCAACGAGTTCTGGACCTACCGCGGCAGCTTGACGAGTCCGCCCTGCCATGAGGGCATCCGCTGGTTCGTTGCGCGTCAGGTCATGTTTCTGGGCGTCGACCAGATGAGGGCCATTCTGGGCGCGAGCACATACAGCGCAAGGGCTGAGCAAGAAGTTTGGCAACATCGCATCAACGAGTGAAAAGGCTACGAGATTCACGATGTGAAATCTGTAGGGAGGGGCTTGAGCTTGGCTGCACTGGTGTGTGTGCCGAGGAGCTTGGAGAGCAGGACGCGGGAGTTGTGTGTGTGGCTGAGACCTCCATGTCGGCGCTTCGGCCGGGGGTAACAGCTTGAGAGGCGGTCACGGATGCGCCGGCGAGATATTATGACGCCTTTGATGAGTCGGCCGATCTCTTCTTTATTTTTTGTCAAGTTTCCTTGGACCAGCATTTGATACCATTTAGATCTCTTATTATCTCTCCATCACTTGTCACAAGACACTTGTTCGTTTTCGTTCCACGGACACGACGAGGTTAAATTGAGCTTAATTGCCTTTCCCCTGTGCTAGGTTTGATCCACCACTTTAGCGGACATGAGCGGACAGCTCTGCCCCTTGATGGCCCACCTGTGCCCTGTCAATCTTCTCTTTGGGGATTTGGTGTTGAGATTGACCCCCTCAAAAAGGCGCCTCATAAGGTTCCTCGTCTGCCGGTCATGAGTCGCGGATTCATTTTAGTGCCCTAGAAGCAGGGCGATACCATGCCAGGAGGGCGGATCGCTGACCCAAATATACCGAATATAGTTAGGAAACACGGCGGTCTGCCAAACTGTCGGAGTTCTACGATTAGGGCTCAAAGCCTGAAAGAGATCGATTTGCCGGTCGCTGAGATATTCTAGGAGACACCAGTGCCAGTAGTGCGTGTTAGAGATAGAAAGAACGAAGAGAACCACGACAATGTGAAAACTGTACAGCTTCAACAAGAGCTATGATCTTGCCGATTAGATCAGATTGCTCTCGGAGTTCCCTATGTCTTGCCGTTGATCCAGGCCCGCCCCTCATCTGGTCAGTCCCACCTCAACGCCAAGAATGTTTCTGGATGCTTTTTCCTAGGCCCAGCCTCAGTCACCCCATTTCCCATAGCCCTGGTACGTCACGGTGGCGTGTCTCTTAATATCTCGTCCAGACAGGATCTGCTCTTCATCTGATCAAGCCTATGATTCACTAAGCTCGCGTAAACTGACCAAAATGATTTGTTGCCGTTACCATGGCGGGGATCAGCTTCGTAACCTTATTCGACTACGGCTGGAGACCCCGCTCTAGTACCGGCAGAGCTGCCAAACCAGCCAGCGACCGGAGCAATCGAAGTAAGAAAAAGTCAAAAGAAACCTTGGTAGCGAAGCTCCAATCAGGATACAACCTAAACCATCCACATCAAATCTCCCCCAAGAACTCCACTGCCGGCTCTCACATCCCAAAGACTCGTCCGCTCAACAAGCAGTAGGGCGAACGCGGATTAACCCATCTTGTTTCATCTAAAAGACGATCCCGATCCAATTGGATGAACCCGAGAGAAACAACGTCTCCCCACATGTTGGGTAACTTGGTGTCTTGGTTTCTTGTTGATCACCTACAACACAGCCCTGTTCAGCGCAATCACCGTGGCTGAGATCCCAGGCTGGACCATTCTTGGCCCATTGGGACGAACCGTCGCTGTTGGTCCGCTGATGCTTGGCAGCTGCACCTCTATATAATTAGCAGTGGCCGAGCGATGATAGTCCCCATCCGGCGGTGGATTATAAGGCAGTATGGATGGTGGAGTTGCGATAGTGCAGACTTTTGCAGTAGGGGACAGCGAAAATCACGGAATGTGACGGGTGTTGTTGACGTAGTGTATTTGTTGGACAGATTGCCGGGGTTCCAATGGCCGCGTGGTCCCGTTTCTTGATCACGTTGTCTCTGGGTCAATCCGTCGACGGCGGAATATCTCTTGCCTAGATCTAGACACAAATGCCCTCCGTCCCGCACTTCCCCAGACCGCGTGGACGCATGGGCTCTTGATTTTGGAAACCCATCTGATAATCAGACTCCTAGCGTCCGCCCCGATGCGTTCCGAACTCGCTTCCGCCCTCGGTCTCTTGGCCGGCCTGCTTACGGCTGCCGAACCGGCATCGGCTCGGCCGGACATCTACGCCCGCTCACAACAGATCCGACGTCAAAATGCAGAATGCGCTGAGGACCTGGCCGACGTCCTGGATAATGCGCCAACGACGTCAATGTCATGGGGAGCTACGGCTTGCGATTATACGTCTACACTCTCAGGCTTAGAACTCTCCGTTACCTATGCCTCATTCAGGAGTCGAATGTCTTCTTGGTACAGCGACGATCTCGACGACATCACCAAGCTCGAAGCCAGCTGTACACAGTATAGCTCTATCTTTAATCAGATCCGGAACTGTTACGTGACTGGAGCTGTCCCGACCGCCGCTACATCTACAACAACAACATCATCTTCAACTATAGTCACTACTACGAGCACTGGGTCTGGAGGCATCACTACGGCAACTGTGACAACTACATCGACACCCGACAGTGGGACCGGTATGGATGATGGCGCGAAAGCTGGACTTGCGATTGGGATCATCCTTGCCGTTCTTCTCTTCATGTTCATTGGGTACAAGTTCTTCATGAAATATCGTCAGAAGAAATTAGCCGACGCCGCAGCAATGTCATCAAATGCAAACGTTGGACCGGAAATGGGAGCTGCAGCCGCGGGAGGAGCATTAGGTGTCGCTGCTCTGGGCAGTACCAAGTCACGACCAGAGCAAAGCGAGGTGTATGCATTCAAATCAGAATTGAGCGGAGAGTCGAGACCAATGTCCGAACTCGATCCACGACCGATATCCGAGCTCGACCCAGCAGCAGCTGTTGCCGCCAGCGGTGCCACCGGCGTCCATCGACATGTTGCGGAGCTGGACCCTGATCCCCCGACACAGCTAAGTGAGCTTCCAGCTGATAACTACGACCCAACCGCCATGACGAATTCGCCTCCACCGGCATATGTCTCCCCGGTTACTGATACGGGTACTCGTAATACGCTCTATTCGGTGGTCTCACCAGTGTCACCAGACTCGAGTACAATGCGATCATCAGGACTGGGAATATCTACAATTTCAGAGGCAGATGTCTCGCAGAGCGCCGATGGTATTGTTACAGGAGTGGCAAATGTTCCAACAACGCAGAATGAGACAGTGCAACAGGGATGGGGCAGAGGATGGATGCAAAGGGAATGAAACATTTGAAATGACCCTTTTGGTAAAGGAAAGGGTACGTGATATTGGCCATGACGGCGAGAGCACAGAAAGCTTTCACACGCATGAGCTGTGCGATGAGCAGAAAAGGACAGTCGGTGGCTCAGTCAGGTTTCCCGAAGTCATCGAATTCATTGACATTACTATCCTTAATGGAGCTTGTCTAGACTGTCTCCAATTAGATACCCTCTTACTACAGTACAGAAAACTTATACTTGTTTCAAGTCCCGCTGATCATCGCCAACGCACACAGCTGCTCAAGGATTTCGCTGGAAAGCTTTTGTGCCAAATTCGAGCCATTTGGCTGTCATTAGCACTTCTCTCGCGACAAAGGACATTCCTTCAACTTTGCAATCGTATCAGCAATATTCTTTCCCACCTCCGCTCCCTCCTTCATGAATGTCACCCAATATTCTTTCTCATCTTCCAGGCGAACACTACCCGAGCGGATATACTTGAGGAGGGATCTCTCCCATTTTTCACGTAAGCTGCTTCTCGCCAGAATAGAATTCATCCAGCCGGTAGACTCTCGGTCTGGATTGAGATACACAAGCGCTCCCAGCAAGGACCTCCGCGTTCCCAGACCTGCCCGGACGCACTTCATCTTCACTCGGCATTGATGTTTGAGCCAGTCTGAGGCCGCTTCCTCGGATGAGTAGAGGTACGTCACTGTGCCATGATTGTGAATCGAAGCATCAAGCGAAAAAGAGTTGGCCGTCTGGGGAATACGTTGCGCTGAAGTGGCCTATTTAAAAGAGCATTGACAGAGTTTCTCAATCCATTGAAAGCGTTCCAGTCCTGACCATTAGGACTACTGGTAGACACAATCAGCCTATTCGATGTGTTTCCGTTGTGTCTACCAGGTTTAAGACTGCGAGGCGTGGTTCCAAATAATTGGCCGATGAAGTTTCCTGAAAGCGGCATGAGAAGCAAGTATGTCATCCCATAAAATGCGCCCGAAAGCAGTGAACAGATATCACCCGCTGCCCACAAGATCCACCCAGACAAGCTGACCAGAGCATCATGTAAAGAAACTGGGCCCCATACTATGTCGATGAGACGACGGATCGGGCCGTACGGACCATGGGACGTTCCATCTTCCACAACATACACATAGAGCCTTTGCAGCCGAGTTCAATCCCCAAGGGCCACAAAGCTGTTCCCAACCTTGAAGTCGACTTTTTGACACCTTAGGAATAACCTCGTTGTTGCGGCTGCTGCGCTAGGGTAGTGATCTCCAAACTTTGCGTCCATGCAGTGGAGTGTAGGCACTGCACATGGTCGATCGAGACAGCATGCGTTTGTGGTATCGTCTGTGGAGAGTAACACACGAGCGCCCTTTGGCGATATTGGCCAACACCATGCAGGCGTAAGCTCTGATAGCTCAAATACATGGAGTTTGGCAGCTTCCTCGATGAATTCAATGAGCGCCGTAAGAGGAAGGATCCCGGTAAATTGCTGCGCCCACGGAGGCAGATTTGGTAGCTCGATAGTCAGATTCATAATTTAAGTTGTCGATCCGGATTAGTGTGATAGTCTCTACTGATCCGGTTCACTCGTCTCGTGACCTGACAAATAGGATCATGTTGCTAGGCAGCGCTGCTCGAAATTGTCAACTTCTGTGCTTGTGCCGTGATGAGCCTACAGACGATAGAGTTTGCCAATGTTGCATTGGTGTTGTTGGTTTCGTGTCTACGGTGGCAAAGTCAGACTTCGACTAGCATCAATTATGTACAATACGGCTTCTGGCCCGAGCCTCATGGGTCCATGAGGCGCCTTCCGCGAGACAGGTAATACGTACAGTGAGTTGGGCCTCTACCGTCGCTTCCTTGGGTAGCTGTGCGGGTTATGATATCGGTCTCGCGCATGACCGTACCGACCTTTGCATAGGCACTTGCATTTCCATCTGATCTGAAGATAGGCTGTGCTCAAGAGCAAATTCAGAAATAAATCAGGAAAAGTGCGGGGCGGCACGGGCAATATGGACCGGTGGTTTGTCATAGCGAAGACTGAGCATTGACAGCGGCAAAGGCAAGACAACCCAGGACCTCGACGTTTGTAGACCTATCATCTGGTTTGCATACATGCGCAGATGTTGGGAAACAGCCTGAGGCGGAGTCTGGGAGTCAGCTGCAGAGGGGCTCAGTCTCAAACCCAGAAGCTAATCAACTTTTAGAAGATGCTCATGTACTGTAAGCGAGTTAAACGAACTTCTAAAATTCGTGATGCAGAATTGATTGATTCTTGAATAGGTAGGTCCAGTTCACCCGGTTCCACTCCAGTCAAGTAGCAAAATCCCAATATCTTCTTTTCCCTTTGGTCCCGAACTATTGCAAGATGCTAATACGTACGAAGCAATGTGATCACTGTATTCAAAGAAACTGATGCCAAAATAGGCGACTTGGAATGCGGCTGGCTTTGTAGCAGTACAGTGCCAATGTTGGGAACGCCGTTGGCTCTATCTCCTATACGTTACATATCACTCCCTGCCAAAATAGGGCCAGTCACCATCATCGCCCCTACCAGGTTGGGCGACCTCGGAACACCGTCATCCTATTTCAAGTTTGCCTCCCGCCGCCGCAGTGCGTGTATGGGCGAGGGTCCCCATACATTTCAATTGCTACCAGAGTACGACACATCTGCAAACTTGTTTCCAAAGCCCATGTAGTGCCTCCGCCGCACTTTTGAGTACGACATCATGTCATCGAACGATCGCAACATGTGGCCGACTGACCCGGTAGGCCCCATACCCGGTACTGCTGAGTACCTTAATTGTCTTGTCGACAGCACCGGGAAGTGCAAATGTCTTTCCAGTCGCAAGAAGGCAGGGGATGACCCCAAGCTACCGAGATTTTGAGCTTCTTCACGAGATGGCTGTACAGGAAGCACGGGAATATAGCCTCGTACCTGAACACCCGATATTTGGGCGAGAGATAAACGCTCCTGAGACAGGGCCATTTCGGCCTCCCATGAGCCGGTTGGACACCAAAAACATATGCACAGACTGCTATAAGAAAGCAGCCCCCGAAGGCTTCACAACGTGGTCACTTTCATACGAAAAGCGAACCTTTCAATATGGCACATTTCCACCTCAAATTACAGCTGAAGCCCCATCGATGCCGACAGTTACTTGGGGGGAAGATTGATAAACTTCCCTTCCTTCGATGCTCGGATGATCTTCAGAAAATGGCCCATGACGGGCGCCCCATCTACATCGACCGTCTACATGGAGAAAGGAAGTGGATTCCAAACCTGACCGACAAGGTCGAGAGAGAAAGGCAAAATGCGGCAATCAACAGGGAGAACGGTGCAGCTTACATGAGTGCCACGAGAATTTACAGGGCCGACGGGGACTTTGGTGCCGGGCAAAACACTACGGCAGAGTATGGAGTTGGCTATGGGCGGCTGGCAGTGGTGAGGCCTGATTGGCGTCTCGCAATGCCGAGGGAAGACTGACCCCGGGAAAACCACTCGAACCCTGCTACGTAGAGGGGGGACCCTTCCGAAGACGAAGAAGAAGCTAGCCAGCAGATTACTGGTCCTAGACTTGTCCGACGCGATATCCCACGCGAGTGGCTTCCTCCGGGTCCGTACGTGGTGTATACATACTACATGGCAAATGCTCACAGACAATGGCCTGAAAAGCCGCCAGTCAGCCGATGCTTTGCTGATAGCCCACGGTTATCCCAAAGACGAGATCCCCAACATTCCAACCGAGGCCTACGAAGACATTGTGCGCATCTCGGATGACGATGACCGAGGTCCAGGCGTCTGGGAGTTGCGTGACTCTTTCACAGGAACAGGAACGCCACGCGGTTTCTTCTACGAAAACATCAGCAGACAAGATCTAGTGAAACATCACTATCCTTCTCGGAGGCCAGGCTTAGGCTTGTCGAGTCCACCTAAAAGGACTTTTCAAGTAAGCGATGAGGAGGTTTACCTGCAGTATGGCGATTGGAGTGAGGATGCTAGGTTCAAAATAAACGTGTACTCTATCGAAATCACAAGACCTCAGAAAGATGACAATGATGAAAGTGGGATTTGAGAAGATCATGGCGGTGCCTGAATGATATCGGAAGCGTTTACCGGGCTATACAGTGTCTGAGAATTAGAATCATTGCGTGGCAACTTAACTTCAAGAAGTGTACTTAGCCCATCGTCATCCATTAACATGAAGAGGGCAGCTGAATGAATAGTCTAGTTCTGATATCTGACTTCTTTATATTCGAGTCTCCGTGTTCTTTCATCGGAGCTCTTTCAAAAGCTCGAGTCACTTGATGGCACCGTTGGCCTACTAGGCTACAGCCGTGAAATTGCTAGGGATATTGGAATTCGGACAAGGGCAATGACTTCCTTGTTGAACTTTTGATTCTTCTAAGTGTGAACATGTAACCGACCCAGAACCCAATTACCCTAACTTCAAAAATACAATCTAGTGGAAACTCCTTTTCAGGAACCTGCTCTTTTACTACTTCCGGGGCTATGCAGCAGTCGTAGAGGACGGCGTTGATGTCGCACAGACGGGTGATGTGATCGTAGTTGGTGTCGTTGCGTGGACGTAGATAACCTTCTGGATCTCCGGGCCGATCCCACCCCACCAAGGCGCCGGCTCCACTGTGGTTGTGACGTGGTTACAGCCGTGGCAGTCTGTAGGCTTTCCAATTGTGACTGTCTGGTTGTAGATTGTGATAGTGCTCGTCGGCTGGTAATCGCCAGTGAAGCCAGGATCGAGAACCGTTATTGTTGTCGTGCATTCGCTTTGAGTCGCGGTGGGTTCGAGCGAGGCAGCAGCAGCAATGCCGGCGAATGCCAAAAGCGTAGAGTATAGTGAAAAGAACATCTTTCGGAGATTTGGAGTTCAAGTGATGAGATAGGAATGCTGGTTGTGTAGGGAATATCTCGACATAAGGGCTTGGCAAACAGTCTTTATATCTTGAAGCGGGGTCTAGGGTCCGTAAGACTTGCCCGGAACCCGTGGAGCTGAGATTCCCTGTGACTCGCTCGAAAATCGGATGAACGGCACGCTAGATGAAAGCTACGAACCCATCGCGAGCTATTCGTGATGATTTCAAGCATTCTGAGAAGACTTTCAATATCGGAGAGTTTATGAATGTGGCTCGTGCTTCAACTCCGCGGATCATTACTGGGCACTTTGAGCATGATGTTAATAAAACATATCATGATTACCCCATATAATCGGCGAGTTCACGAATCTTTTCCCCGTCCCTGGAGATCTTTAGTGTGGAGGTTGAGCTATTGCAACTTGTCAAGCCTTAGCAACTCATCTGAAAGTCTTGGATATCCCCTGTATTCCAGCTCGTGATCAGCCCCTTTTGAAAAGCTTGTTTACTGGCAGCCTTCAGGGTCCGAAACTTCCGCTGATGTCTCCTTGCCTCAGTTCTTCACAAATGTGAGTTCTGTCTCTTCAGCGACCAATTGATGGCTGCGGTCAGCAACCAAATTTTGGCAACCGCATCCCTACCACTACCCAAGGATGACGTTGTCTGTTTTGGGAACAGCGAAACCGAGCAACTGTTTGCTAAATTCAGCTATCCTCTGATATCGACACAGCCGTCTGGAATTGAATTAAGCGCATCTAAACTGGACGTACAGTGAAGAAGACCTGAGCATCATCTGCGGCTGTTCTGCGTCTTTCGTCGTGGGTCAGACTCATTCGTCGCGATTGTGGCCTGAGCCATGAAAACTCACATTCAATGACTGTCCGAGAGAAGAGCTTGATGAAGCTGAGCAACGACATTACCACGTGCGACCAGCATTCTTGGTCCCTCAAGTCGTAGCCTAAGAAGTATACAAATGCATAGAGGCCAGAATCGTACCGATGTCAACCCGTTCTAGAAACCTTCTGTCGGTCTTGCATTTTGAGATGGTTTTCCAAGGCGCCAATTACTGACCAGCTTGCTGCCGGGAGTCTTACACATGAAGCAGAACGTGTTTTCTCTCCTTCATGGCCTCAACAGAGCATATGTTCGCCACATTGACAATTGTGCGTATTTCAGTGCAAGAGCTGGGTTGGCGAAAGCCAATAGCTTCGAGTCTCACCGGTCTTTTCTCGGGTGCTGTGGCTGTTTCCTGTCAATAACGTTGCCGATCATCCAATTCGTGCATATGGCGAAGACCGAGCGTGCATGCGCTTTCGAATAATCGTAATTGCGTGGCTTGATGTTTTTGTTGGATGTGAACACGCAAAGTAAATAGTCTTCAACTTATTATAATACTCTTTGAACATTTGCGTGGAGCTCGGCGAGGAAGCTGTGCTTGATTCATCGAAAACCACCACACAATAGTCAGTCGAGTGACAAGAACCTGTTTTCCCTACAACTTTTGTGATGGAACTTAGTGGGTGTCGAGTTTAGTTGAAGGGCAAAAAACCGGCGATTTCATACCACAGAAATAACGTGCTCCCAGCGATGTCAGACAGGTCTCACCTCATTGGCTCTGCTTCATCGCCAAGACCATTGCTGATCCAACAACAGCGCCGGTGTCATTCTTACAAATGCCGAGCAAAAATAGGGTTGAATTGATCTTGGGAGGGAGAAGAAGGAAAAAAGGCACAAAAAGTATTTCACTAAGTTTTAGATGATATTCCGTCGGATGTGAGGCTTTCCGGAAGATGCCCAGCAATTGATTCCTGATAGGGCGCCCAAAACGGGCTGTGTTCTGGCGCGGGTGGGATGGAAAAGATCGTCAAAACTGCCAACGGAGTATTGATCTTCAAATGTCCGTAGTAGCAAGCCGTGAAGGCCAAGTGTTTCCCACGTCAGATTTTCTGTTGGGCTGCATTGGCAAACGATCCGGCGCGTCGCGGTGAGCATATTTGGGGGAGAGGGCCAAGCAACCGCCAAGGAGCTTGCCTCGAAATATTGACGCTACCGGACAAACCTAAACAAGACATAAACTCTCCCACTTGGTTAACTTATGGACGGCAAGTCGCGCTTCCGCTGCCGAGTCCTAAATGATCAGCGGCGTCATAACCGTGCTTCTGGTATTCGATGTTCCCCGGATTAGGAAAATGTGCCAAGAAGCTCCCAACTCTTCGACGATTTGCTGCGCCGCGGCGACTACGGGAGAACGGGAGGCAAACACCGCAATCTCAATTCCCTTGGCCCATTCATCACAACAGCCCAGACCGCGGTAATGGCGCCGGCGTACAGCGCTTGATCGTTCCTCCGGTTCTTGGCTGAGCGAACACATCACCAGGCCGTAGCAGTGATGCAAGTGAGTGTAGAGGCGCTGTGGAATTGAGGGGAAATGACCGTACTTGCCGAAGATGCACCTGAGGTGTAGCTCGTAGCTGGATATCGAGGTTTACTACATATACAGAGATGAAAGTTCCCTCATTATTACCAGGTTCCGATCTGTATCACATCATTTCATCTTCATCCACCTCTTCTAGTATCTATCAATCCCAACTGTACATTCATCCCCAGTCACTCACTATCTCCCATACCATCACAATGAAGTTCGCTATCATCCCCTTGGCTTTGGCTACTGCTGCCTCCGCCGCTCCCATTGTCGAGGAGATTAAGCACGCTGTCGGCTGGACCAAGAAGGGAGGCAAGGGCAGCTGGGGCTCTTCTGGCCCCTTTCACTTCACCTCGACCTACGACGTGATCGCCACACCTGACCAGGTCGTTGATAACAACAACACCTTCACTGGTGGACTGGCCGGAGCCATTGGCTACTTCAACTACGGCATCAACTCCAAGGAGAATGTCATCTGCTACAACATCACCCTGGTCAACTTCCAGGGCGAGTACCAGTCCCCCGCCCGTACGGCAACCCACATCCACCAGGCGGAGAAGGGCAAGGCTGGCCCCCCTCGGTAAGCACATGTACAAATCGCTTGATAGAATCAGAATACTAACTCAACCTCACCAGCATTGCCTTCCCTAACCCGGTCGCCGTCGAGGGATATCAGAACGTCCGTCGCAGCGTCGGCTGCTTGACCGGCCCCTTCGTCACCGGCGTCAACGCCACCGGTGTCGACACCGGCTCAGGCTTCAAGGTCAGCCAGATTGAGGAGAACCCCGAGGGATTCTTCACCGACGTTCACTCAAGCCTTGCGGTACCTGGTGCTGTCCGCGGCCAGCTTGGCGACGACTACAAGAAGGACTGCCCCGAGGACAAGAACTAGAAGACTTCCCCTAGAAGCAGGGGCTGAAAGGTGTTTATACCATATCGGCTTTATTATACATCGTGCCGGCGATGGCGGTGTTATAACTAGTGTAAAAGGGTGTTGATCCCATAATACCTATTCCGTAATTTTAATACCACATTACTTGTCTAAATGAGCTTTCGCAAACGGGGACTTTCTACAGGGCCTGGGTCTATGTGACAGGTTTACCTGATTAAAGACGACTGGGCGATGAGATGAACGATAGATTGCATGGTTGATCGATGGTTGACCATCCTAGATTTGGATGGATTCCAGTCTCGCTGTAAAATTGTCGTTCTACACGAATATTCCTTCAGACACTGTCTCCCGCTGGGTAAGTATTTAGTGAAAAACCAATTACTATCTGAGGTGACTTAATACAATAGCCAACACGAAATCCCAAATGCGAAATCCGGACTCCTTCTATTAAACCCGATCACGGCTGTTAAGACCTGTTCTGTGTTCAGTGAATCAAGGTTCATGTCAATCGCTAGACAAGGTGATATCTCCAGTCCCGATCACGTCTCGTGCCCCTCGATTCTTCAATTTGTCTTGTCACTGCGCCAAATATTCCTCGTCTACACCTGAACAAGCAAAGTTTATTGTGAAGCGCCTATGTCTTATTCCGACCACTTACTTTGCGCTATTTTGAATTGGCCACGGCAGGTATCAAAATGCCTGACATGTGCCGCGGTGCTGTGAGACTGGAATGAATAACAATTTTACAAACCAACTTTGAAAAGTGAAGAGTCTATTGGAATCTAGACCCCAGGGACTATGCTAGCCAAGGACTGATGCGTGTCTCACCTTAATCCAGGAGGCAAGCAAGTGGCCAAGGGGTCACCACATCCATGGGATTGGTGTGACAGGGTCTCCAACAATTGAGTGCGATGGCCTCTGTGACTTCAGTGAAATGTTCACAGTCAAGTATTTCGTATCACACCGCGGTACATGTTCATCAACATTTGTAGCTCGCTTCAAACCGGTAACTAAACAAAAGGTTCTTTGGGCCCTTGTGGGACTAAATTGGATATCACTGACACTATAAGTCGAATCCTGTCAATCAACCACATACGAAAAGCGCCGAGAAGATTCATGCTCTCTGATACGCTTTGAATCGTACGAACCTTTAGATCGCAGTCTAACATGACTTTGTGAACATGAAAACCCATGTTATGAAGTTGAAAAAGTTCGCTTGATTTGTTGCCTGTTTTACAACCTTCCAGGAAGTGATACGCAATCTCTTATCTCTTTTCCATCATAATCATCGCCCATCGCCCAAATGATGTTACAAACTTGTTACACGTTCCGTATCGATGACAGCTCAGAGCCCCAGCAGACCTCCACCACCCTTGCCGCCACCACCACCACCGAGCAGGCCGCCGCCACCGTCCTTTCCATCACCACCTCCCCCAAGCACACCTCCGAGAAGGCCGCCGCTGTTCTCCTGACCTCCGCCTCCGAGACCGCCGAGGACACCGCCGAGAAGGCCGCCAACACTGTGTCAAAGTTAGTATGGCGAAATCATCGCGATTGAACAGGAGAGAATAATTGCTTACCCATCGCCGACGCCGCCAACAACCTCACCGACACCGCCGAGGACATCACCCTTGCCAAGTCTGCCGACGCCCTTGCCCAAGCCTCCAGTGATACCAGTGACTGCGTCGCCGGCGCCCTTGCCGACTCCGCCGACGATGCCACCGACCGGTCCGCCAACTGTGGCACCAACACCTCCGAGCGTACCGCCGACAGTGTCACCCTGGAAACATGTTAATATCAAGGTATCCCACGTAGCCATTCGAGTACTGGATGATGACGCACCAATCCCTTGCCAACACCTCCAACAGTATCTCCAACTCCACCAGTGACACCGCCGACGGTGCCCATCAAGTCTCCACGGCCGAGAGCACCGGTAGTATCGCCCAACGTCTTGTTCAAGCCACCAGTAGCGGCACCCAAAGTGTTGCCAACGCCGCTGGTAGCACCCCCAACAGTCTTGCCAAGGCCGTCAGTGGCGCCCTGAACACCTCTTCCAAGGGGTCCTCCGACGGTACCACCGACCTGCTTACCGAGGCCGCTGGTGACGCCACCGACGGTTCTACCAAGACCGTCAACAGTGCCGCCAGCCGCCTTGCCGACGCCATCGACAACGCCACCGGCAGTGCGTCCGACTCCGCCAACGGTCCGGCCGGCAGTTCCAACGACTCCACCGGCAGTCTTGCCAACCCCTCCGACGGTCTTACCGACGGTATCCGTGACCTGGCCCACAGGACCTCCGGCTTGAGCCTTCTTCGCTGCGCGACGAGCCTCAATCTCATTCGTGGGAGTGAGAGCGCTGGGGTGGTACTGCTTCTCCTTCTTTGGCGTAGCAGCCTTGGCCTTCCGGGCCTCGTGCTCTGCGGTAGGTACAAGAGCGCCAGGGGCGTAGACCTTCTCTTTCTTCGCGACCTTGGCAGGGCTAGTGGTAGCGGCAGGGACGTTCCTGACAGCAGGTGCGGGAATAGGGGCGGCCTGCTTCTTGACGGGCGCGGCCTTGGGTACTGTGACGGGAGCCCTGGGTACAGCCTGTGGTGCCGCGGCGACTGCGGGCTTCTTCTTGGGCAGGTTGTCTTCGTGAGTCCGTGCTGCTGCTGCTTCCTTCCTGGCCGCTTCCTTTGCGGCCGCGGCCTTGCGAGCTTGGATTCTCTTCACGATATCTGAGCCAGTCGTCTCTGTGTACTGGGTAGTCTTCTTCTCCTGCATCTTCTTGACAAGATCTGCGCCACTGCTGCCGCTGGCAGCCTTGCTAGCAGTGTGCGATGCTGACTTGGCCGTCTTTGAAGCATGGTCGGCTGTCTTGTGTGCGGATGATGAAGCGGTCTTGGATGCGTGATCCGCGGTTCTGTGAGCGGAGGATGTGGCTGGTTTCGATGCAGACGATGCAGTCTTGGAAGCTGATGCTGCAGGCTTTGAGGCCGATGATGTGGGCTTGTGTGTGGAGGAAGAGACCTTCTTCGTTACCGGCGTCGTGGTAGCGTGGTCTTTGGTCGATACATTGTCCTTAGCGGCGGCTGTGGCTGAGGAGACCTTCTTTGGCGTCACTTGCGATTTCCGTTCGTCGACTTTAGCGGCCGTTGCCTTTTTGGCGGAGGAGACCTTGTGGGGAGTTGCGGCTGGTGGGACGAGTCGTGTTAGTGACGGATGCAACCTCACAACTCTTCCAGTTGGCCATCTATCTGGGTGAGGTGATTTGCAGGGCTGACTAACCTTCCACAGAAGCACTGTGGTTCTTTACTGATGATGGCATGATGGAATAATATGTGGTACTATAGGAAAACTCTGTGTTTCGGGTTCACGATAGTCTGACAAGTTTGGTTTTCACAGAGTGAGTTGCCTCGAGTTGGCTTGTTGAAGGCTGTTCTTTCTGGTGTGGCTGATGCTCTATATACACTGCGAAGCTCCGTGGCAGCTTCTGGGGATGACGTAGATGGAAAAGGATGAGGAGGGTGGTGTGAGCTGACGTGCGTCCACCGTCTGTGACGTCGAGTCTGGGGTTGTCCCGGGGGTTTGATAGGCCTAGATTGACCATCCATTATGCGAGACACCAATCGACCCCAGAAACACCCGCCACACTTCTGAGCACCACATGCACCGCCGACGCACGATGAGGGAGGGATAGCGAGGGAAACATAGCCAAACATGCAGCTTTTCTTTCTCGACATTTCTTCCCGAGTCCCCCAAATTGCCCTCCCCCAGTCACCGCTCGCAGTGGACAGCTGAGATGATGCTCGGTTATGACATACCCTTGGTTGGATTCCCTGCTTTCTGGACGCGGTTGATCGCATCGACACGAGCTAGAGGATGCGTGAACCGGACGAATCAGAGCCTTGAGACTGATAAACTCTCCCTCCCTTAGCCTGGACCGCGAAACATGGCTTTTGTGAGGAGATCAAGGAGCACGGTTGCGCTGCCTTGTCTCGAAGTGACGCCTACGAGCAGCCCGTCGGCGTGAGAGACGGGGAGTGAGGAGTTGCGTTGGTGCTTTGTTCTTTTCATCCAATTGATCCTACGCCCCTCCTACTGGTTGTGGCTTAGCTTACAGCAGCTCTTACTGGGATGTCATCGCGGCTCGCATGCTCGATATCCACAAGCGAGGTCTCGAGCGTTATCGTGTCGACATTGTGGATCGAGAATTGTGGTCTAGGACTTGTCAGTTGCGGAGTAAGACTGCTTGATATCAGCGGACAGAAATTCTGCTTAGTCTCGGTGAAGTCGGAGGGGAGAGAAGAACGTTTGAGTTTTTTTCTTCTGCATGGAGCGAGAGCCATGTTTGCCTCCTTGGATCCATTGTTCTTAGGGTGGCGGATTCGGCTGTTGGAGCTAGTGGTCTTGGTCTATCCCACACGATCGCGATTCAGCGCCCGTCTGGTGGCGACCGTTGACAATGAGGGGTTTGGATGAGGTGAGCGATTTCCTTTGAGGACAGGACGAACTCCTAATGATAATGGCGAGCTACATCAATCATCTCAATCACAGATCCGGATTGCTAGCACGCTGGTCTGAAATGCAAAATTCAGCTGTTGCCAACTGCCTTATTAGACCTGGATGTATGAATGTTTACTTTGCGACTCTTTCGTTTCGCCTGCATCCCGTCGCTGCTCTCCCAAATTATCCAGTAAGCGAAAAATATGCCTCTGACATGGAGCCACAACAAGGCAGATCTTTCAGCATACACGGGCTTCCTTCGAAGAATTTTCCTCACCTTTATTCCACTGTAATTTCTTGGGCAGCTTGTCACGAGGAACATTTCCTTGCAGGCTTTCTTACTGAACAGTCCCTATCGGAACAAACGAAATTCTATTTCGTCCACGTCCTGCAAGAATGTACTCGAAGTCTGCTTCAAAAAGAACCCGTGCTCATTCAAAAGGCGAGCCGGGTACCACTTTCAAAGATTCTTTGACCTTGACCGAAGAACTACGCATACAAGGCATTGTTCATCCAATAAACCCGGACATCCCAAAGACTGCTTTAGATGCTGCAAGTAAAGACGAAATCCATGGCAACTGTTCTTCATCATTGTCTTTTGTCAGCTCGTCTCACAGACTGAGCGTTATTGTAATGAATCCTAGATAGAAAAGGAAGGTGCCGGCTACTTGCGAACTGAATGAAACAGATCACTATCAAGCACTTTACATCTACATAACACACAAAACAAACTCACAAATACACGACTTCAGTCCCAAGAAACCCATCCACTGTCCTCCGACCAAGCCTCGACAGACTATCATGACGAACTCTCCCAACAAGCTGGACAACACAGGTAAAATCACGCCAGCCATGTCCGCCCTAACTCTTAACATTCGTCGTACGCCTGGAAAATATATTCAACCTCGGAAGGGACTCTTCTGCCTCGGTCAGCTCCCAGTTGACATCCGCTACCTCATCTATGAGTTCATACTCGTCGAACCCAAGAGAAGGGACATTGAACACAAATCTGACTGCTTCTGGCATTCCGATCGTCTTAGACTGCTAGAGCCTCCCGCTTTCCTGCTCAACGACATCGTTATTTCAGAGGAGCCTCACCGGCTTATATGGGATCTAGATGGTTATTGCTGGTCTGGGAGTACCATGTGCCGCTGCGATCAGCGCAAGGGACTCGGGCTACTGTTGACCAATAGACAGGTGCACGCCGAAGCAGCACCCCTCTTCTGGTCCCAAAACAACTTCAGTTTTCTCAGCGGCCACGAGGCCATCACGGCCCTGAACCATCTCGTCCGGCCAGAATATCGAGACCTCATCTCTTCCATCACTGTGTTGAGTGCTGACCAGCGCGGTACGCCTTGCAATGTCCGGTTCGCCAGTGATACCACACAGGGATGTGGCCCGGTGCCATGGGACTCATTTTGGCTGACGATGATGAGGTGCCGAAACCTGAAGGCGATCGAGGTCCCCACTATTGCTTTGGAAACCTGCCTCGATGGGTTCCATCAACTTGCGACAGAGAAACCCGCGCTGAATACAAACCTCGTCGACTTCATTCCATTTCGCAAGTGGGAGGATAATCTATTTTCATACCCCGCCGGCACGCATATTGAAGAGTGTTATGACCATAAGCATTTTACTATTTACGCCGAGACTTCGTCCAGACTGCCAACTGTTCAGGAGCTGAGAAGCTCTGACGAGGAGCCTTGCATCGACATTTGGAAGACGCGCGCCAGAGAAAGCAAGAACCTCCTTCGTCGCACTCGCGAGGTCATCATAGAGACGTGCTTGCGCAATTTTGACGAGCAACATGTCTACCAATGGTGTCTCCGCCCCATCATTGACAGCAAGGAAACTAGATTCGTCCGCCTCGATTTGGGTGAGGGTAAATACTCCTCTGTCAAGTTCCACGGCCTTCCCGCATCCCTCAAAGAAGCACGGCAACTTGCCTGGAAAGAACACCTTGAGGACGAAGAATTCAAAAAGTTGAAAGGTATGTACCCCAGTCACCACAAATCAAAGATATGGCACCGATGGTTTAGGGAGGTGGTAGAGGAGGAAGGGTTGACTGAGGAGGAGGGTGCCGAGCTGAGGCTTACTGGGTATTATTACACTTTGTCGGACGACGCCGAGACGGCTGACATCGAGCCGCCTCACACTCAGCCGAATATGGACACTTCTCACCTACATTGTGCGACCAATCCCCGGAGGTAGAACAGGGGTATTCTCTGGTTTAAGAGAACAACCGCAAGATATGATGCTGAGCAGAGGCGCAAGGAGAAGAAGAGAGATCTTGAGATGATCTGCAGAGAGTCGCTCGACGACGACGATGACGACTGGTGTTAGTCCTCAGGTCTTTTGCCAGCTTTATGCATGCGAGAAGAGTTTTGCTTACTCCCAGCAAGTTTAAAAATTAATAGACTTATGCTGTGTCCGGTTTTATCCTCATTTCAAGTGAATGGAATATGGCATCGAAGCTTGATAAGAAGTGCCTTCTCCCAATATTTATCAGAGCAGGTATGATCTCCACCAAGTCTCCTCTTCCTCTAGCCAAAGGCGAGGGCTTCCAGGCATACCAAACATGTGGCCCTCGCCCTGAACCTCCCTGATTCTCACATCCCCTCCCTTATCCTTGACAGCTTTGTAGATGAGCCGGGCTTGCTCGATCGGCACCACGGTATCCGCAACACCATGAAGGAGGAACAGCGGAGCCCCAATCTTGTCGGCGTGGTAGAGTGGGCTTCGCTCACGATATCTTTCCTCCTTTTGTTCGTCCGTCATACCCGGATCCAGAACAAGCGCGCCCATGTACTCGGACTCTAGCTTATGCGTGGACTCGTCCAGCTTCTTGACGTCACTCACACCACAGACGCAGAATCCGGCGTCAAAGGTTGTGGGATGGCGTACCAGGGCCTGGAGGACGTTGTAGCCTCCAGCGCTGGCACCGACGATGCCCACCTTGCCGACTCTGCCTGCTTCAACCAAGTGCTTGGCGACTTCAGCTGCGTCGTCGGCGTCGACGATGCCCCATTTTCCAAAGAGTGCCTCGCGATACTCTCTGCCGTGGCCGGTCGAGCCCGTGTAATTCAACGCGAGATAGGCATAGCCACGTGCAGTAAAATACTGAGTTCGCAGCTTGAGACCAGAGCCGGTGTAGCCTGTTGGCCCGCCATGCGAGGAGATGACTAAAGGAGGTATTGCGCCGTCCGGGGCGATGAACTTGGGGTTCTTTGGCATCCACAGGGTGCTGTAGATTGTGCGAGATGGTTTCCCCTTCGACTCGAACTTCACAAGCTCCGGCTTTGAAAATAGTGCATCGTCCAGCTTTTCGTCTGTGGTTCCTCGAAGAATCGTTGTGTTTCCACTGATAATATCGATCTTGTACAAAGCAGATGGAGAGCCGGCCTCATCCGCAACAAGGAGCAAAGATCTGTCGTCCAGGCGAGCCATCGCGTCGTTGACAATGCCGCAAATGCCAGATGACCCGATGGGTTTCCAATCGTTATTCTCAAGGTCAATGAGGATGAGCTGGGCCTCGCCGAAAGTTATCGCTGCCGCAGCCACGTAACGTTCCGAAAGTGGTGCGTACGTTTGACTATGGCGATGTTAGTTATACGTCGTGCAACTTGGAAGCTTTCGTGTCTACCAACCTTCCCTGATACCATCTGATCTCTCCGATCTCAGCGTTATCCAGTCCGCTCAACTTGACTTGTGTAGGCTTTTCGGCGCCAGGAGCTAGACGGAACAGTCTCCGGAACCCATCAACCTCAATGCCGAGGAACAAACTTCCGTCCGGGCCCCATCGTGGCTCAGCAGCGCCTTCTCGGTTATTGCCAGCAACCAAGACCGCGTTCTCGACTGTCGCTTCTGACGTCCAATCCGCAACGAAGATCTTGGCGGATGCGAATGGGAGATTGGGTTGATCCCACTCCATCCAGGTAAGCCTCTTCCCGTCAGCACTGAACTGAGGGGTGTAGTAAAAGTCAGCGCCCTCAACAACGCGCTTGACTTCGCCGGTGTCTACATGAATAGCGACGACGTAATTCCGAATCTCGTGAGGCGTGTTGATGGTGTGATCCTCTTGGTTTGCCAAGACCCAGAGGTTCGTGGGGTTGGCGCTGAAGTTGGAGTATCGTAGCTTCGAGTCGCCAGTCAGATCAACGACTTTGCCAGTGTCGACGTCAAGGGACTTGACGGTGTTGTCACGGTTGGAGAAGATGATGCGACCATCCGCGGCGACGTCGTACGTAGAGCCACCGTATTCGTAAACTGTGTTGCCGGCGCTATAGGGTGCTGGTAGGAGATCCTTGAGGCCACCGTTCTTGGTAATCTCAACGAAAACCTTACGTCCATCATCCTTCGACTCAATGAAGTACGCCCGTCCCGATTGACGCTTTGCATCAATCAGTAAATGCACTTCAATTGGTCGTCACGCGTCCTAGATCACTTACATGGACTCGAGGCGATGATACAGACCAGCTCTTGGACGTCACAGTATCGACAGTGATTGGGCTCTCCCAATCGCCATACCGGGCCACTCGTTTAGTTACCATGACGCAGATAATTCGCAAGAAGGTAATTGTGCGATCTTGGATGGTGGGAGAGATACTCGAAAGTCGACGTGGAAGAACGCGGCCACACGTGAGTCACCAGTCGTTTGAGGGGCTGAAGATGTTGCTTACGTGAAGTGAGAGTTGCACGACCGAGATAGGCAGGAGACATGTGCCGGGTTTGCCGGTAGCGAACTTCGGTGAGGCCCCGCTTTTAAGCCGATGTTGGCCGTGCTGTCCATCCGACAGTGGGGGAAGCTTGCCGTGGGTATCGGCGTTGCTGTCCGGGATGCTCTTGAGCGACTTAGCCAGCCCGAAGCATTTGATTGAGAAGGTAACGCACCCTCAACGTGAATGAGGAACTCTGTGTTGTGCTTCATCATTACTGACACCGTATTCTAAGAGGCAGCTATTGCAACCAAACCATGCTGCCTACTCTGTATAAAAGTTGCAAGATCTAATCTCACCAAGCGGCCAAGGTCTTTACTTGAGCCTCACCCTTGAGGGTATGTACTAACTCAAGCATTCTTATCGAGTAGAGATCATGGCTGAATATTTTCACCCATCTTCAGGCTAAAAATACAGCCTCAAGTCGGATTTCAAGTTCAATCGTTGAAACCATGGCTTAATCGCAGATGACCCCCGACGTCAAGCTTGGACGAAAACCGATCCGGCCGAAATCTTAGCCGCACAAGTGACCGTAGCTCTCCAATCGCCGGGATATTGCCAGAATCGAAGACCGAGTCAAAATGGGCTGATTGCCAAGGCGAACTAAATGCCGTTGGAGAGAGAAATGCTCCTGACTCATCCTCCATCGTTTTCCAGATTCCAAAAAACTCGTCTTAATTACCCGTCTAATTCCTTCTTCAGTAATTTGTGTAGTCGCTCCTCAAAGCAAGCCCAGCTGCTCTAATTCTCGCCTCGAGCACAAGAAGCTTTTACCAAGATTACCAAGCGCACAAAAGAGAAGGAATTCTCGATCCAAGAGTTGATCAGAACCAGGGGGGTTCCGGTTGCGCAAATCTGAACCAGCTCCATGGCGCCATCCAACGCCCGCGTTTCAGTCTGGTGCAAGTTGAGCCGGCGCGGCAACTCGCGCAAGCATCGCAGCACCGCAAGCGCTACGGTGAACGGAGCAACTGGTCGCATGAGCGCTATCCGCCGGCCTGGGTAGAGTTGCTGTTGGCCTGTTCTGGTGCTGGACACCCTGGCAGTTGGGGGCCAGGACAGGGGGTCCGTTGGTCTTTCAGTGTGCTGATTCGACCAAAGGATCGCTCACGTTTGAGAGTCTAAGTTTAGCCTACGACAGCTGTCATCTGAGACTTGGTGAAGGGGTTCGGATTCTGCCCCTTCAAAATCAACCGAAATTCAGGATCGTTAGGGGACAGTTCAGAAAGGGCGGTAGTAAAGCAAGGGTTTGTGGTGGCTAGTGTCGACTAACAACGGCGAAATTCTAGCGCTGTTTATGGGAATCAGACGAACATCAGAGGATCGCAACCTTAGTCTTTGTAGCATCTCCATTCTGCCACGATCAAGATAACCCGTAACTCACCTCTAATGGAACGGTTCTTGAACAACCCGACTTCAACATCAACTCGTACTTTTGCAATATCGCTTCGTCGTTGGTTCCAGTGGTCGATGCTTCTGCCCCGCATGAGTTACCACCCGAAAACGACAAGTAGAGACGAGTTGCCACACCGCCAAGCAGCGCCAATGCCGGAGCTCAACGACAAACTGGCATGACCAGCCGCCCGCCGTTGCGCAGCACGCAAGGTGACAACCCCCCCAAATTACCGCATTTGTTCATCATGAGGCTCTCGAGATGCACCTTGGCGCACCTTGGCGGCGCGGATGGTGGGGGAGGACTCGTCTACTTGCGCATCCTTGCGGTCTTGTGTGGGTTTCATGATGCCGTCCTTCTTGGCGAGTCGGCGGCCCTCACAACCAAACCCCGCGCATGTCTGTCGTAGACGAGAGAATCTTATCAGCGAAATCAGTTCGTCTGGGCATATAAGCTCTTTGAGTACCTAGGTGCCGCCCACCGGCGTTCATCGTGATGGCTGCGCTCTTTTCTGTTCTCATTCCAGTATACTTCACTTCTCACCAACTCTTCTTCTCCGCGGCAAGCCCGCTATTACGAGTCAACCGCGTTGATCTCTTTCACAATCTATCCTTTCACTCTGATATTAATTCACTTTTTTTCATTTTCAGTTTTCAAAATGAGGCTCTCAACACTTGCCACGATCTCATGCCAACTCCTCCTGGCAGCGTCACTGCCAATCTCGACTACTGAAATATCCCCCCGAAACAACGGTATCGCGCAAGTCTCTACGGATTCCAGTCTCGCAGACCGAAGCATCGCACAAAGCGCCGCGACAACTCCCTCAAAAGCCACCGAAAAAGAAGCTGCCGCAGGCGAGGCAGGCGCAGCCGAAGGAGGTGCAGCCGGAGGAGCAGAAGGCGGCGCTGCCGGCGGCGAGGAGGCAAAGGATCCCAACGAAAAGGAGATTGAAGGGCAATTCATCGTTCCCGTGCGGTTAGGCGGCGCGAATGTTAAGCAAGATGTTCTCTTTCCTCCTGCAGTAAGTCTCAGACTCTCATCAAAGGGTATCTCAAGACGCAAAATATCTGATGCTCATTACTCGCAGAAAAATGGACGTTTCGAGGTCGAGTTCCAGAACGCAGTCGGTCGAACCCTCACCGTGACAGAAAACAGGTCTCCTGCGCCGCCTCCCGCGGGCTTCACCGCTATTGAGGCGGTGTCGTACAAAGTCAGCCTCGCGGAAGGCGCACAGGGTGTGACTCTCTCAAAGATTGATTACATTCTCAACCCAGGAAGTGAGTCAGGCTCTTGAGTCCTGCTTGACTGGTAGTGGTGGGCTAACATGAGATGTAGATACCCTCGATATCAGCAAGGGACAAGTAGGCCGCCTCTTCCCGGAACTCAACGCCTTCATCATCGACCCGGCTCTCGGTGAACTCGAATTCGAAGCCGAGGAGAATGAGTTGACCTTAAAGGTTGCCAACATGAATGGAGAGTTCGCCTTCTTCCTCCCGCAGGCTGGTGCTGCTGCCGGTGCGGCTGCATAGGGATAGGACCTGGCTCCTGACTTGGAAAGCTCATCCGCAAGGGTATGGCTTGCGATGAGGTCGTATGCGTGTTGGTGCCGCGGAGTAGCGGCCATGTTGTGATAGAAAGAAGCGACGAGAGTGAAGCAAGCCGAACACACACTGTAACTCATTCATCCTGTAACAGATATTCGTCGACGAATAGTTCAAGTTCTCTTTGTATATTATCAGTAGTCTCAGGATTACTCCTTTTTCTCAAAAGCCGTCGAGGATAATACCCCTACACCAGATTCATATCCTGTACAATCCTATCTGTCTTGGACAGTATGATGCTCACAAACATCTGATGGCCCTTTGACACATTCACGTCGGAGGCCGCAAACACTATGATTTGGCCATGAATCCTTGGTAAGAACATAGATGTTGGCAACGTAGGACCTTCTTGCCCAAGCCAAGGGCTGAGTCGAGACTTTGAGAGTCACGGGCAATCCAGTTTTGGTTCTAAAGAGCGAGTCAGTACATCCCACATGGTTAATGACACGAGACCTAGCATCCGCAACATACATCCATCATCAGCTTCGTCGCTGCTCAGGCGCCATTGCGCTTCGACGCGACACTGGCGAGTTTTACGGAGGCTCTTCCCGCGCCTGACGCATACAGCACTCGTCTCTCATCTTGCGTGCTGGCAAAGCCTTCTTCGGGACCATCCCCATCACCGAGAAGCTCATCGGAATTGCAAGACCACGTTCATACTAACATCTCGCGGCAAAGTTTGAGCCTTTCACTGGCCTCCCTGAGGAGCTCCGAGTGCGACTGCTTAAAGCTTGTCTCGAGCAGGTCCAATAGTTCCGGCAACCTCTCGTTAAGGTCCCTCGTGGCCTCTTCGTTCAACTCTTCCAAATTCGAGAAGTAGGCCAGGTAACGAGCAATTTCGCTATACCTTCCCAGGGGCGTATTCCTGTTGGGGATGCCCAGAGCCTGTACAAAAGACCATATTGTCAAGACCGCATAGTACATGATCCACGGCCGATGAGGATCCGGCTCGCTGCGGCAGGAGTAGTAAACAGAAACCGGTTCAGGCAAAGCGCCGAAGCTACTCGTCCGCCGTTTTGGGTTTTTGTGGTCTACGAGAACCCGGTAGAGTAGTCTGAAAGCATGCAGAACGGCGTGTCGAGTGGATGGTGCATTCGACCAGGTCCTCATTCTTGCAACAGCATTGGCATGATCGCGAGTTGAGACTTTGCGACCGACCAATCGTTTTGCGCCGGCATATACCTGACAATCGACGATGTCAACGTGAAGACTGATATGGGCTAGGTGGTAGAGAACAGCGGCCGAGTGGATGGGCCCATTGGAGCTTGATGGCTGTCCTAGCCCTTCGGATAGATCGTTCGCACCAACAGCGCTGTCAAAGGACTCTTTCCACTCGTCGAAAGCGCGGAAAAGTATCTTTTTCCAGCTGTCGTGGGTTTCCGTGCTGGGTGTGCGCAGGTCAAGCCACTTGAGGTGAGACTCTCGACGGGACAGATGCCATCCCACACTGAGCAGCCCCGACATGATAATCATGCGTCCAAAAGTGTGTGTTTTGACTTCCTGCCCGTGTAAAGCACTTTTCAATCCATCGAGGAAGGATACCTGCTTGATGCCGTACATTCTGTAGTTCCCGTCGAGTTGTCGGAAGACATTCGGGGTCGCGGCTGTCCACAAGCCATCGTCGCATGGTAGAGGTAGTCGTATCTCGTGCGGAGCCATATCGGCGTTGTGGCCGAACATGGCTGCATGGACAGTGTCCATCATGAAGGCCGCAAAAACGACGCGATGCATGGATTCGCTCTCGGCCCATCGAATCCACCATGTTCTTGAGTCTGAAGAGGGTCCTTCGTTCAGCGCCGGGGCTTCTTCCTCTGGGGGCGTTTCGCTCCCTGCTCGTCCAATTAGAGGGCTTCCTCTCCTAAGAAGATTCAACAGAGCCGAGTGGTATATATGCGATCTCTCGTGCATGCGTCTGGAAGAGAATATCTTCTCGTAGAACTCGAGCAACAGCATTGCTTGAGCTATGGACAGGCCCACCGGCGCCGAAGCTTCCTCGTGAGTGAGAATTTCCCATCGACTGCTGGAAATAATCACGTCTGCCAGCCCCCCGTACGGTTCCAAGTTGCCAGTTGAGTCTCTGCTGCTCAATGACACAGCTCCCAAAGCAATCATCACGAGTAGCAAGAAGATGGAGCAGCGGTTCGAAGAAAATGTTGGCTGATGAACGATCGGCAAGCGTGGCGAGATCCTCTTCCAATATTCTTGTAAACAATCTCTCATCATCTCGAGACTCAGAGCAGGCAAGTCTCCGTTGCTCTCCTGTACAAGACTGACTATACGCGGTTCGTACTTGGGCTGCTTGTGCCGGAAGACCTTCAACCACCTCAGGACCTCCTGCCGCCGGTGCTCACTGATGAGTTCGTCACTAACTTCAACTTGCCGAGGTGGCGTCGGATCAAGCTGTGAACGACTTGTCAGTGACTCGTAGTCATAGGGAATGTTGTTGTTGAAAGTTGATTCAAGGCCACCTTCGAGGAAGGGGAGGTTGGCGACTCCATTAAAGTCGCTGAAGCTTGCTTGAGAGTCAAATAGCCAGACGGCAAAGTTCTCTCGTGAAAGTGCCTCGTCGGGCTGGAATCCTCTCGGGTCAAACGACGGCATAAGAGGCGGTGCCTCGGGGAGGGTCATCTGATCGCGTCCGTAGTAAGCGGGCTTCGGTCGCATCATCTCGACAGCCATATCATCGATGGACGGCCATGTGGTAGGTTGGCTGATCCTATTGACATGCTGAGCAAGGGACGGGTTTGATGCACCCGTTGTCGGCGTGGGCGTAGCAGAGTCGGGAGTAAGCAGGATGGCGGCATCATGAGGACCGCTTGTTGAAGGCTGAGGAAATGCTGGCCGTGGTGGTGCGCCTGAAGTCGGAGATGACACAGCCGGGCCGGATTGGTTGCCAGATGCGGCAGAGGCGAAGCTGGGCGCGCGATTTCGAGGGATGTACGATGATGAGTGACGCTTCTTGTGACGCGACAGCAGATCAAGGCGGACAAACTTCTGATCGCAACCAGGGATATCGCAAATGAAGATTTCTTTGGGATTGTCTATGGAGAGACGTCAGGCCGCACCTTGTGACATTACGAGGGCTGCGACTGGACAGGGGAGTTGACTCACGGTTCAACTGGTGCCTCTGGAGATGCTCTGCTCTCGAGTATAACTTGTCGCAACCCGGGTGTTCGCAGACGAACCGCCGAGGAGCACCTCTGCGACTTGCACGCTTGTAGTTGGCTGCAGCACCACCAGGCTGGCCGGGAGATGGATGGCTCGCCATCGGCAACGGTCATGAGAGCATCGTCAAGAGAGACGCTTGATCCTTAAGCGTAGCTCGTATTTATGGTTTGCTGAGCCCGTATGTACCTTTCTAGGTGGTGATACTCTCATGAGCAAGGGGTGCGGGTACGTTCTGGAACGCCAAGCAAGTTGCGCAGAGCGAGCTGAAGATATTCGCGACAGCCGGTGAGATGGAGACGAGAGGTGGGCGCAAGATGAGATGGAATTGGAGATTGGCAGAGTTGCGCCTCAGGTGTCTGGCATAGCGCGGGGGATGGGCGCGTTGAGCTGCTCCTCCCCCAAAAATGCCCCCCTTCCCCACACATCTCAAGCGGAAATGGGGAAGGCGCAACTCGAGATGAGTGGACCCCCTACAACTGCCCGGTGTTGCGTGGCTCTTATCGATAAGGATACCATAGAAGGTCCACTTGCATATGGAAGGACCCAATGAGAGAATGCCTGCAAGTCATTCACTTACCTAATCAAGTATCCCGATCATTTTCGTCAAAATCCGCTTGGAAATGGAATACGCCATGCCAACCCTGCATCTGATCCAAGGACATCGTGGATCAAGTAATTTGCTCCCGGTCCGCTGGATTAAGCAAAAATTGCGTTCAGGTTATCAAGGGATGTCACGATGGGATGCCTCAAAGAAGAGTATCTCTGTCAATGCAATGGTCTTGCTATTGAGTTTTCGGTTGAGTTTTCCTCATCGAGGGGTTCTCTAGAGTTCCTTGAACAAGTTCTCCGATATGTTAAATGCTAAACCCCCCTCACAATGCCTAGGCTCCGTATACGACATGTTTCAATGTCTGGGAGTGTCTAGTAAAAGTACCCAAGGATCTTGCCCGAGATGTTCTTTCTGCGAGCCTGGTGGTGATGCATGATACCGGCGGACGTGGTGAGCACGACCTGGCCGAACTGGCGGGCAGGCAGAAGTCGGACACCCCATTTCTCCAGGTCTCCCAGTCGGACGTTGGAATGAGGGCTGATGACGCCACATTTGTTCAAGCTGAAAAGGGTCAGCCATGAGTGGTTCGCAGAACAGGTAGGAGACATTGATGACGAACTGGCCGTTGAGTTAAACGACAATTTTGCCGCCTCGGTGGTCATCGACTTCCTCGAAGTCAGACACGTAGCCATGCTGCTGCATAAGCTGGAGGAACTTGACGATGACCTTGGAGGAAGGGCGAAGCACCACTTGGCGCTTGCGCGGACTATCTTAGACCTGTGTGAAGTTGTAGCTCCAAGCTTCGGCTCGTCTGCCTTGATATAGCTTCAATTACAACAGAACGAAGAAAGACTCCAAATGCAGTGGCTCTATAACATCGGATCTGCCATTGGCTCATTTCAAACTACCTCACTGCCGTTGTCGATCGAAGTCGTTGATGTGGAAGGAAGTTGACCTTGTCCCACTACACAGAAGCTAAGATAACGAAACCAATGTCAGAGTACCTCGGGAGTCCACAAATCTATCCATTGCGAATCCGTTTAGCAATCTTCTCCAGGGCCACATTCTCCTTTGCGAGCTTCTTATGATCCGCCCTATGGCTCTCGGCAGCAGGCCCAACTACCTCCAACAACCTTATACTCGGCATCCCGAGATAGCCCCTGGGCGTCCCAGGCCGCCTATCAAGCCTCCCGTTCCTCATCGCAATGTTGTCATCGGTGTACTTCCTTAGCCGCTCCGGAAGGACCTCCTCGCCCCTCGTCTGGTGCTCCAGTACCTTGATCAAGTCCACAAACACAACCTTGGAGGGCAATTTGACCTTGAACAACTCCAGCGCGGCCATGGTCTCCCGAAGATCGTAGCTCACAACGCACACCGTCGCGTACGCCGGACCACCCAGCGCATCAAACGCCTCTTGTGCCTTAGCTCTCGCCTCCTCCTCGTAGAGCTCAAACGTCTCATGCGCAGCGGCAGCGTTAAACCACGACCACGGCTTCGGCTGAAGACTCTTATTGACTTTCGACTTCTCCAGCATGCGAATTGTTCTGGTGCTGCAACTCCTCTTGAAGGCGTCGTGCTTCTTGTCATCCAAAGGTAAGGACCGCCATATAGGCTTGTCTGCGGGTGACATGACATTTATCTCTATCGCTCTGGAATTGCGTTGGTCGGCGTACTGGTATCTGTCTGATAGCTCGCAGGCTACGATGACGATCTGGTCGCCTGCCCAGCAATCCGCCAGGGTCTCGTTTTCGTTGGCGCAGTCTTCGAAGCGACGGAGCTCGCTTTCATTGAAGAGGCGTGGCTTTTGAGCGATGTTGCGGGGAGATGTTCCCGGCGCCATGGGAGTGGAGGATGGACAGGATGACAATCAAAAGAGTCGGGAAACTTTGTTCCTTGACGAATTACTTGGCATTTGTGCGAGGAACAGGACAGGACTTCCCTTGCACAGTATATGTAGCACCATTTGCATATACAGACACGAGCTAACATCTAGTTGACTCAATATTGCAGACTCCCTGCCGAAATACGAGGTGGCGGCGTGGGCACTTACTCAGCCCCAACGTGACTCTTACGCCGACGGGTTATGTGATACTCAATAGCACTTGTGAATTAAGCGCACTGACATATAACAAATAGAGCAGACTTATGCCGGACGATCTGATGGTATTGTCATTGAATACTTGGCAACATAATTGCTGCGATCGCTAGAATCATGAGAAAAAACTTGCTAGAGCTCTCTTTCATGGTAATTACGACTCATGCTAAATATGAGCCCAAATCCTGGAATATCACTCGCTTCAAAACTGGGAGGAAGGACTCGAAAAGAAGGCAGTTTAATATAGGTAGTTGTTCTGCTTTTCTACTACACCAGAGTCTAGATTGTGGTCAGCAGATCGGAAAGAGACTTGAGGGGAAACCCGGACAGAATAGACTTAGGCATAGCAGGAAGCCACTGAATTTAATCACACAGAGACGACAGGTTCTCTATGGAGCATCCTGCGTCTTTGTGGTTTGCTCCTTGCAGCCGAAGACTTTGTCCCTGCGTCATCCTGATCATCTTGAAATTCATTAAATAGCCAGCAACATCTGTGGTCTGGTGGTCAATACAAGTGGAGGAACTTTTTCCAAAAATGAAGGGAAGTCGTAATATATTAATCCCCTGAGGGCCAAGGGAAACTTCAAGCAACTGGGAGCTGTGCATGTACTACGTTCACGGGTAAATACATATTAGTACTCAAAAAGGTCGATGCACAAACCAAGAAAAGAGTTCACCACCGGTGTAACTACATCTCTTGGTGCACATGCTGGGACTCGAACTCGGAGCCTGTCGTCGAGTAGGCTGTGGGCGTAATTGATTATTGGCAATTAGCCTATCCACCACCCGGCCAGTTTGACCTGACCTATCGACCTAGATGGGCGCCTACTGGCTGGTGACAGCAATGGGACTGAGGGGGTATATGAAGCTTCCTTCCGATGTGTATTCCGTTTATTCAGGTGGTGAAGACAATATCAGATGAAGGTCCAGCAAGCGATGTGAATTTCCGGAAGGCGCGGTCGGCACCATCATCAAAGTGTGATGTCCGGTCGTCATGCCGTGAATGTCTATAGTTTGACCGCATCAAAGCTGACAGCTTTTCCGCGTTCTTTTGGGCTCGCTGGTTCACTAAGTGATATCTCACTGTACTTGATGGTGATGTGGTGACCCGATTCGACCATTTCAGTAAGTCTGCCAGACTACGTCAGCGCGTCAGACTCAGCCTCAACTCCATCTGGGGCCCCGTCAACTGAACCAGGCTGCGCCCTATTGGGGAAATGACGCGGAAATGAGCCAATACTGTTCAACTATCTTTCAAAAACTATTTGTCACTTCATCTGTCGGGCACTCTGCAAGGCAGTGAGCGCGGCAGTGTTTAGCTAGACAGGATAGTTGAAGCTTTCCGGATGGCTTCATGCTTTTGTTCGAGTTGGGATCGGGCAGAGCTGGGATACTGTCAGCTGGCGATTTGGATCAAGATGATTTGGAATGTAATGTCGCAGATGCATTGAGATGCTCCGTTGAATTTGCCAATATCTTCACATAAAAGCCATCATGATACCCAAGTGAATTGGTTTGGATCAACCGACTCGTCACAAAATCAACTACAATCAAAGCAACTGCTTCAATACTCATTATCCTCATATCACTGAAACTTACAAACATCAAAATGCTAATCACAAACTTCCCCCTCGCCGCCATGGCCCTGTCCTCACTCGCCATGGCTGCTCCTCATCGCAGAGACAACGAGTCGGCCACGGGTCTCAGCTTGACTGCTCAACTTCAACTCGCGGACAGGTGTGTGAAAATTCTTAACTTACACTGGTACTGAAATTAGCTGCTAACACATTACTAGCGGCGCAGCCCGATACCGTCTCCTCACCAAGGACGAAGACTTCATCTACGACTTCAACAAATCCCAAGTCGCCCTCGCCAACCGCCAAACCTTCCCAGCTGTGACCGGCCTAGGCGGCAGCATAGCCGTCGCCTCCCTACCCGGTACGACCAAAGATACAACCTCAAAACGTTGGGAAAAGACAAGCTAACAACACACAAACAGCCTGCGCAATGTCCTTCCTCCACCTCCACCCCCGCGCCTCCGAACTCCTCGTCGTAACCTCGGGCCGCCTCATCACCGAAATGGTCCCCGAAGCCGGCGTCCTCGACGCCTCCGGCAAGCAGCGCGTCATCCGTGCCGACCTGGGCCCCAACCAAATGACCGTCTTTCCCCAGGGATCCTTCCACACCCAAGTGAACCCCGAGTGTACCCCGGCCTCGGCCGTCGTGTCCTTCACCTCGGACGAGGGCGGCACCGCCATGGTGGCGGCGCAGCTGTTTGCGCTGAGCGACGTCATGATTGAGACTTCGTTCGGGTCGAGCATTGCTGGGGAGGATATTGATCGGGTGCGCCAGGCTATTCCGAAGAACCTTGTGTTGGAGGTTGAGGACTGTCTGAAGAAGTGTGGGCTTGAGAAGCGGGCTCTTTAGGTGGTCGAGAACTCAGGAGACGTATGGCTACTGAAGTAGCATTTTGGGAGAGTATAGTTGGGATGTTCCCCCTTTTTCCTTTGCGTCTCTGAATAGGAGTGCGGAACATCCGTAGGCAGTTCCTATTCTTTCATTAGCTTTTCTTTTATCTTGTCATTTGATTCCAGGATCTTGTTAACAACTCTTCTTCTTTCACTCATTCAACATATACTTATGGGTAGATAGCTGTCATATAACCCGCATGCAAGCAAACATGGAGAATGCCGCGTATGTTGACAACTTGGCCTAGCATCAGATAGGCACTCAAGAAATCCGATTCTAGATTCCTGAACATTAAGGGGACCCAGCATCAAATGATTTAATACTCAATTGCTAATATAAAACGGGCATCAATGACTAGCAGGTGCCGCGAACAGTGTCAAAGAAGGAGTTGTCTTGGAATCCTATAATATTGTCGCGAGCTTGATATGCCTTTGTGAATGGTTGAGCCACGAGTGTCGCGGATGACCCTTGCAACTCGATACAGTCCATGTCAATTCAACTCGCTTGCTGTTGCGAGTAGAAAAAAGTGTAGTAAATTCCTCAGATAGCCTACAATCACAGCACAGCAAAAGAGCCCGCTCGGGCGTCGTCAATAGTCGTTCACTCATTTGATTTTTTGTCTTTAACTCATAAGCCAGATCCCATCTATGAACTCTTGCTGCTCTCGCCAGCCTTATCCTTGCCCTTGTCTTCCTCAACGGCACCATCATCCTCAATCTCAATGCCAGACGCAGCACCGCTCAGCCCTTCCTCCTGGTTTCCGCCCTCCATTTTCTCAGATTGCGCCAAGAACCAGTCCGCGACCTCTCGCTTGTCGTTGAAAAGCGCCGAATCGAGAGGAATTTGATCCTTGTCGTTAGCCACCGCAGGGGAAGCGCCATGGCTGACGAGGTACTTGACTGCCTCAAGGTGGCCGCCCAAGCACGCCCAGTGCAGACCTGTGTTGCCAAACTCGTTGCCGGCGTCGACGTACGCCTTCTTCTCCTCTGCAGGACGGCTGTCAAAGGCTGTGACGAGGGACTTCACGATATCTGTACAACAAATTAGCTCAAATGCTGAAAGTTTTAAGCGCAAATGAGGCAATAACTTACCGAGGTGACCATTACCGGCGGCCATGTGCAGGCAGGTTGACTTGCCCTCATCCTTGGCGGCGGTGATGATCTCGCCTACGGTAGCGCCTTCGCGCTCCGACAGGGACTTGAGGGTTTCTTCGAGATCAGCGAGCTCGCCGGCCCTTGAAAAGTAAATGAGATCGTCAATCTCCTCTTCTGAGAGTTTGGGTGCCATTTTCGGTGAGGTTTTGTAAATGCTGTCTGAGGACCTAAAATGAGTCTTGAAAGTGAGGTAGAAATTTTCGGGTGATGTGTGTGGAGGTACAGTGTTAGAAGCTCGTGTGCGCACTCCGCACGGCTCCTCTTCCTCTTCAACGGACATCACTGTTCACCCTGTGCCAGTCCAAAAGCAAACGTCAAGCCAGCACCTAAATCGAAACGAGACTCCAAAGACAACCTCAGAAACGCACATGCGCGAATGCGACAGATCAGAAAGTTCCCAAGTGCTCATCGAGCCATCTCGACATGTCTCCTGCATTGTCCACAGCTTGGATCTCTGCCTTGATGCCGAGAAACAGCATCACCTGTAGTTCTCGTCGGCAATCTTGATCATTTTCGGTGCCGTCCTCTTCGATTTCCTTGATCGTGTTGATAGCGCGCGTTCTATCTCGCAGCGTAAGAGAGCTAGTAGAGTCGAACAAGCTCGCACAAGGCCGCCTTTGGCTGCCGTTGATATCGGGCCCGTGGCGAGGGGTTGCATCCTGACGGAATGCGAGATCGTCGCTTTTTATGCCGAGCCACTGCATGCTAGGTACAGTCGTTGCCTTTTCGTGTGCATGTCCCCGTGTGCCGTAGCTGTAGCAGCGCATGATGGCAATACCATAGCAGTCGAAGTCCACAAGAGCGAAAATTGGAAGCTCAGGTTTGGCTGTGTGCAGAAGGTGTACGAACTGCTTGGTGTTCAAATCTGGGTAACCTTTGCCCTATGGATATGTCAGAAAGTTGTAGTGCTGCTGTTCCCGTAGGTAAGTCTACTGACCGTGACAAGAATGCCCAAGCCAAAGGCTGAAGTCTCCTAGTACCTCGCCGATGCCAGTGTCCGATACGTTGCCTGTTCCAGTCAGCAACGTTTTGCAGCCAACAACAAACCAGTCCAACCTCTTTCTCGATGACTAAGACCCATTGTGCTGGACCAAAGTCAATCTCGGAGACAGTCCTGGCTGAGGGTATGAGGATCCCCTAGATCTTGATTAGCAACAGCTGTGGTCGAGTCTTGGTGCTCCATACGTGCTCGCTTGAAGAAGCGTCAACTACGGAAGTCCTGGAACGCAGAACAATAGGCCCAGACACAAGGCCTTTACTTGCGGCAACCTGAGGAACAGTCAGAAGATTACGTCTATCAGAGACAGGGGTCACTCACTATACCGAGGTCCTCCCTCCCGAGGCCCAGCGTAAAGGCAAGGTCATCAACGAGGTTGTCGACGATGGACTGTCTTTTGAATAAATCGGTGTCCTGATAGTAGATGTTCCTGTTCCACCATGATCTCAGCACTTAACACTATCAGGAGGCAGATCATGGAGCGCACACCTCTTGGTAATTAGCCGGCCTTCCGTCAGGGCGCTCAGGGACAGTTGCATGATGCGCATGATACGTGCTGTATCGGCTGAACGTCAGGAACAAATTACCGTCAACCAAGCACGAGTACGAACTGAACTTGGTTGCTTCCTCTGCTGTCCGGCCCGGGAAGCGAACTGCTAATCGAGTTGTCCGAGATGGGCCATGGTTGCTCGTGGATTGGTTTGTGGAAGGTCGGGTCCTGAAGGGAATAGATATTTCTCGAGACTGTAGCAATGATTCTCGAGCAGATATCAGGATATCTTCCAACTTCACAATGGCGAGCCCGATGGCATTCCTATGTGGATCCGGATCGGGGATGGTCACGACGTTGCTTGATTGACTCGGATTAGACAGCTGTGGCGTTAGTTGGCCTTCTCGGCGGCCGTTGAGCAACGGGGGTGTAGCAAAGTCCATCAAATCAAAGACAAGGCAATGGGTCTGTATGTAGTTGAATTGGCAACGCTTGAAATCCTCTGAACGCGCCCGCAAAGTTTGGTCAGACTCTAGGGTTTTGGCGGATTATCGTTTATTGGAGGGTTGGTACGAAGAAGATGGTGTGCAAGAGAAGCTGGAGGTGGGAGCTGCAGGAACGGACGAAGGAGGCGCTCCACACTTCAAAGCCATTGGCCAATGATGGGAGAGATACCGCTAGTGGGCAGAGCACCGTGCGGCATGGGGAGATGGTGGGCCATTACCTAATCAGCAGAAGATGGAGTGATGAACAGCTTAGCTAAGCTATCCTGGTATTAGGCTCTCGAAAGCCGGTGCCGCTGAAGTTTATTTTGCGCTGGTCTGGAACTGTGCGACATCCTGGCACCTGTCAAATGGCCTGGGAATTTGCGTTTCGCCCGTCAACTTACCTGAAGTACAGCTGAAATGCCCCCAACAATCTTGAGCCAAAGTCAGCTGCGACAGCCCATCAACGATGCCTCGAGAGCCCAAGGACTGACAATGTCGATCAAGACGGACTATTAACACCTCTGATTACCCTGTTTCCGTCTCCATCAAATCCTGATTTCCAGCAGGGATCTCGTACGAGGATGTGGTGGGTTTCTCCCGAGAACATGCATCTTCCTGTCGTTGGAGGGACACCGCCACAGAGAGACGCGCAGGGGGCGCCGCCTTCTGGGAGCTGACTGGGCCACCATTTAACAAGTGCATGAATCCCATCCCACCACCCTCCAATTCGATCCAGGCGGCCCTCAACATCGCTCCTCCTCTGCACCACGACGACTTCAACCGCCGTCACACAGAGGACAATTACCGCCTGCCATGGTCGCCGAGAAAGCCCCATCCATCGCGTCGGGCAATGGTACTCTTGGGGCCAAATCCGTTCAGTCTCGCAAGCGCGTCGCAGAAGCCATCGCCGAGCAGGAATGGCCCAAGAAGCCCCGCATCGATGCCAAAACCGATCGCACAAAATGGAGGATGAAGGACGAGGACGGCCGACACACCTGGAAATACTTGGAGGGCGACGACGCCGCTAAGGACTGGCCCCAGACCTACGCCGACAAGTACTACTTGGGTCTTCCTCTCGTCAGTCCACCTTTTACTGTTGCGACTTTGAATGACAGATATGTCACTGTTCTTCGCTAACACGTCTCCCGCACACACAGGACCTCCCAATCCTTCCCGAGCCCGAAAATCCACTTGATGCGACACGCAATGGCCTCGAATTCGTCGAAAGGCTTCAACTTCCCTACGGCGACTGGGGTTGCGAATACGGCGGTCCCATGTTCCTACTACCAAGTGCCGTTATCGCCTGGTATGTCACCAAGACGCCCATCTCGTCCGCCTTCGCAACCGAAATCAAGAACTATCTCTTCGCCCGCGCGCATCCTGAGTTGGGTGGCTGGGGTCTCCATACCGAAGGTATCAGTACCGTCTTTGGCACCTCCATGAATTATACCACCTTGCGCCTCATTGGCGTCGATGCTGAGGAGCCCATCATGGTCAAGGCCAGAGCAAGACTTCATGAGCTCGGTGGCGCAACGAAAGGGCCGCACTGGGCCAAGTGGTGGCTCGCTGTCCTGGGAGTTGTGGACTGGGAGATTGTCAACCCTGTTCCTCCCGAGATCTGGCTGCTGCCAGACTGGGTGCCCATTGCCCCTTGGCGGTGGTGGGTTCACATTCGCCAAGTCTTCTTGCCAATGTCATACGTATACTCCAAGCGCTGGACTTGTGAAGAGACTGAAGTCATTCGCGACCTCAAGAAGGAGCTCTTCCCCGAGAATTGGGCGTCCATCAACTGGAAGGCGAACCGCAACAGCATTGCACAGGTCGACAACTACAACCCCAAGTCCTGGCTGCTCAACACAGTGAACTGGTGCTTGGTCAATATCTGGAACCCCTATCTGCGAACCAACTGGATCAAGGAGAGAGCTGAAGCTTGGACCAGTGACTTGGTTGACATGGAGGATGCCAACACGGACTACCTAGGTCTGGCTCCAGTCAATGGCCCCATGAACCACATTGTCTGCTACATTCGGGACGGCCCAGGGGCTTACACCGTCCGTCGACACGCTGACAGAATCATGGACTCCCTATGGGTCAATGCCGAGGGCATGCTGGGCAACGGTACTAACGGCGTCCAATGCTGGGACACCGCCTTCATGATCCAGTCAGTCGTCGCTGCTGGTCTCGAGACTGATGACCGTTGGCGCCCCATGCTGGAGAAGGCCCTCGGCTTCCTCGACAGGCAGCAGATTCGTGAAAACTGCAAAGATTCGGACAAGTGCTACCGCCAGCAGCGCAAGGGCGGTTGGCCTTTCAGCAACAGGGAACAAGGCTACGCTGTCAGTGACTGCATTTCTGAGGCGCTCAAGGCCGTCATCTTGCTGCAAAAGACCGAGGGCTACCCCCAGCTTCTCGATGACCAGCGTATTTTTGATGCCATCGACTCCATTCTCCTTTACCAAAACGAGACCGGAGGCGTGGGCTCATACGAACAGCGTCGTGGGGGCGAGTACATGGAGTTGCTCAATGCCGCCGAGGTCTTTGGCCGTATCATGATCGAGTACGACTACCCCGAATGCACCACTGCCTGCGTCACGGTCTTGTCGCTCTTCCAGAAGCACTGGCCCGATTACCGCAAGGATGACATCCGCATCTTTGTCAAGCGTGCTGTGAACTGGATCCGTTCCCACCAGAACATTGATGGTTCTTGGTACGGAAGCTGGGGTATCTGCTTCACCTATGCGGGTATGTTTGCGTTGGAGAGTCTGGCCTTCGCAGGAGACACCTACAGCACCAGCAAAGTCTCCAGAAGAGGTTGTGACTTCTTCATCTCCAAGCAGAGAGAGGATGGTGGATGGTCCGAGAGCTACAAAGTAAGTGTGCCTCTATTCAATTATTCCAAGCACCCGAACTGACGATGAAAGGCTTCCGAGACAATGGAGTACCACGAACACCCGAGAGGATCCCTAGTAGTGCAGACCGCCTGGGCCCTGATCGGCCTGATGGAGGCTGAGTACCCCCACATGGAGCCCCTTCGAAAGGGTATCCAATTCCTCATGGATCGCCAGCAAGCCAATGGCGAATGGCTCCAGGAGACGATGGAAGGCGTTTTCAACAAGAGTTGCACGATTGCGTATCCCAACTACAAGTTCACGTTCCCGATCAAGGCGCTTGGCATGTTTGCCCGCAAATATCCAGAAGAGAAGATTACCCCTGGCATTAGCGACAAGGGGGACTTGTAGAGATCTAGACCGTTGCCTTCACTTCTAGAACATGGCCATTGATCAAAAGTAGAACATAATTAATTTTAATGAGACACGATTTCTGCATTGAGGTAATGACGAAAGACTCTGGGAATTGCAAGAATGCGAACTAGGGTACCCGACGATTACAAAGACTCGGATCAAGTTGGGTGACAGTACAATAGCGGTGCATTCAACGACGTCTGGACGGACAGGCGCAATGGGCGTCGGACGAGGCAGGATGCTAGAGGGAGCAAAAGCGCTTCGGCTATCACCATGAGTCGAGATGCTTGACCGGGTGACTCCCGAGGTGATGCTCCCGAGGGTTTCAGGCGGCGATGTTTCGATTCATCATGTGGTCACCATTTCATTCGACTTTTTGTTGACATTTTCCTGTAGGATATTCAAGGCGAGCCCGACTTCTTGTTGCAAGATAGTCTTTTCTAACTATTACTACAATATATATCCTGAACAAATCTTGTCTAGATTACACATGCGCTGCTTCTGCAATTACCCCAACAAGGAGATGCTTCGTGAAATATATATATATATATATATATTCTCGGTGAAGCAAGCCAGTTTCGGTGAGTCAGACGGTGAGGGTATGCTGACCGAACTTGGTGGCGGAAAGTGGAGAGGCTGCCCCACCACAGCTTCCAGAACAGTCTGACCCCTCCGAGCTGGAGGCAGCACCGACTGAACCTTGTTGGACCTGCAGCTACCTTTCCTGCATCACCGTTTGTTCTCTGACCGTTTGTTTTTCTCCCTTCCACTGCAAACGGGTTGCTATCTGTTTCCTTTCAACCCACGCTTCTTCTCTTTGAGACATCGTCGTAGGTATAAATACCGGTGTAGGAATTAATACGGCACAGCAGTCATTCGACTTTCCAAGCTCACTTCGGTCCGCATCGAATACCTCCCATTCCCCCAGCATCCAACGAAGCAAACATTCCAAAATGTCCGAATACACAGCTGGCGCAGCCGGCATGACCGCCGTCGACAACAGAGACTGGGAAACCGCCATCACCCAGCTCTCCAAGGCGATCAAGGTCATCAAATCCCCCAAGTGGCTCATCGGCCGCTCCAAGGCCTACATCGGCACAAAGGACTTCCGCCGCGCCCTCCGCGACGCCGAACTCGCCCAAGTCGCCGCCGCGGGCCGCAACAACCGCCCCTTCATGGCCGACGCGCAGTACCGCCGCGCCGTCGCCCACTTCCGTCTCGGTGAGCTGGCCAACGCGGATACCTGCGCCACCTGGGCCCAGCGCATGGTCGAGGGCAAGAGCATGGCCGAGCTGAGGGCGCCCGAGGTCGACGACAAGGGGTTCGCGCAGGGTACTAGGAAGGCGCTGCAGGACGAGATAACGGCTGTCCGGCAGACGGAGGATCCGGCGCAGAGTAAGTTTGGGGCCATCTGGAACTCCATTTGCGCTTTGCGGCTGCAGATCCTGGGCGGGCTGGAGAAGCTTGCGGGGGACGATGAGAAGAGAAAGGTGACGGTGAAGTTTGCGCCTGACGTCTCGCTTGATGGTCCTGATACAGATGAGGTGGAGGAGTTTACAAAGGAGGAGATTGAGGTGGCCAAGGCGGAGGCGGTCGCGAAGCCGCAGCCCAAGAAGGATGTGCGTGTGGACTTCTTCCAGAGCAGTACTACTTTGACAGTCACTGTCTTTGCGAAGAACATCCCCAAGGACGACTTCAAGGTCGACTATGGTGATTCTGAGGTATGTCTTGCTTGAAATGAGCACAAAGCACCAGGCAGATGCTAACAGAGCTTTCCAACAGATCAGCATGTCGCACATTCCCGGCCATGAG